TAATCACTAGGAAGTACGGTAGACACTTTAAAGTGTAGAATCTGAAGTATTTAGCAGTACCTTCCCTTATTTAATACAATGCATCCTAGTAGCAAAACACATAAGCATTATCTACCTCAATATCCAAAGCACCTGAAAACATTAGCCTTCTTCAAGTATGGAGTCCTGTTCACTGTGTGTTATATCATCTGTGGGTATTGCATTGTTTTTCTTCTGAAACTGTATTGTTTTAATGATTTTTGTGTGTCTTTTGTCCTTGATACATGTATATTTTTAATCTTTTGTCTGTATTTTTGTTACACTTACTGCAAGTTTTTCCTTGTACCTGCTTGCCCCTATCCTATGGGACTATGGATGGAAACTAGCCTTGAGCTAAATCCAAGTGTATTTACAGCTCCTGAAGGATGTTGTTTGTCGATGCGCAGAGTACTTCGAAGGCCTTCTTAATCCCACCAACACGTCTTCCATTGAGGAAGCAGAGCCTGGGGGAAGGGTCGGGTTCTCCCATCTCTGGTAATGAGGTCACTGGGGTGGTTAAAAAGCTCCTTTTGGGGAGGGCCCAAGGGGTGGATGGGATTCGCCCTGCGTACCTTAAGGCTCTGGATGTTGTCGGGCTGTGTTGGTAATGTGACTCAGCAACATTGCGTGGACATTAAGGACAGTTCCCCTGGATTGGCTGACTGGGGTGGTGGTCCCCCTACTTATAAAAGGGGACCGGAGGGTATGTTCCAACTACAGAGGAATCAGACTCTTAAAGGCCAATTTATACTTCTGACGCATAGAGTCTGAAACCATCAAATCTGTCTGCAACCATCATCCCGCACCTCAAAAAAATCCTGACTACATGTTGGACGGTCACAAACCCGTGCAGACCTAAAAAAAAAAGTGCGCAGACGAAAAGCAGCTGTGATTGGTCCTTGACATGCTTTTCTGGCTGTCTGTGTGGTTGTCCTTCTCCATTCGGTGCTGGGGCACGGCATTTTTAAAAACCAAGGAACAACTACAATGGACAACTATAACGAAAGGTTTATCAAGAAGGTTCAGTAGTACAATCACTTGTACGATGCCTCAGACATGTTGTTTTGGAAAATAAACACTCCCGCCGATGCCACCAAACGCCGCTGTATGCCAAAATCATCCGTATAAAGACAATAAAAGTAAAAAAGTATAAAATATGCCAAGATTTTGAGAAGGACCTGTACATGGGAGCAGGAAAGAAAGACCAGGCTAATCAGCAGATTGGGAGCAGGTGTGAACAGAGGAATATAAAAGCCAGCTAGGGGAAAGGAGACTTGCATAGGAGGACCACAGAGGGAAAACAAGAAATACATAAGAACTAAAATACATGCAAAAAACACCACAAAATGGTGAAAAAAACTAGAAACTAGAACTAGAAAAAAACTAGAAAACACAGAAAATCATGAATCAAAGTGAAACTCAAAACTCAAGAAGAAAACTTAGACAAAACCAAAAAGTGCAGAATAACAACACAGAATTATGACACTGAACACACCAGACACAATTTGGCATCCTAGTTAATGCAGGCTGCACAAAGAAAGGGGAGAATTTTCACAGTCTTCCCAAGGATTTTGTCCAACAGAAGATCCTTGCAAAGTTTGATTCTTAGCTGTTCATTTGCTTTAAGCATTTTTCTTTTTCTTGTAATTTACATACTCTCTGTAGTGATCTACAGCTGCAGGGTACTTTTTTTCATCTTTCCTCTCTGTAATAAGCTCATAGTAATAAGCTCAGAACATAGGACCCAGAATTCCGGCAACACAGAGCTGAAAGAAGATCAGATCCGAGCTGATGAAAGAAGACCGGATAATCCACAGGGTGAAGTAAAGAGACAGGTCCAGGTTCCATCCACAGAAGAATTGGACAGGAGTCCAAAGACAGGCAGGCAGGCTCAAATGTCCAAGTATAGAAACGGATCAGGATCAGACAATCAGAACACTATAGTTACACTTGAGACCTCTCAACAGCAAAGGTTCAAGAATAAGGTTGTGCTAATGGCTGGGAAACAGGCAGCTTGAATAGGAACAGGGCAGAGCTAGACAGGTGAAGGAAAGCCAGCCAACAGCGGTAAAATCATGTCACTCTCTCCCTTATAGAGAAAGTTCCTCTGAACAAGACTTTTGTGTTTCCTTGTTATCTAAAGAAAGTAGCTCATATTTTCATCCTTTATCTCCACCCAATGGTAGCAGAGCTCCAGCTTATTGTTTTAAGGCGGCTTAAAGCGGCTGCGGAGAGGGGGTTGGGGGCCTCTGTTATTGCACCACTGCAATCTGGAAGAAATGTCAAAATCTAAAGGTATCAATCATCTATTTTCTTTTTTATTAGAGTATTTCAATGGTAATTTTTTGCTTCCTCCTTCTATGATGGTATTAAGTTGGTGTTTTGTTACAGGAAAAACCAGCATCCAACAAGCTAGACTTAACAAACCCTCTGACTCGACGTAAAAGAGGCTCATGATCACTTTGCTTAATGATTGCCTCTCTGGCATTGCTGTCTAATACTATTAACAGTGGCTCTACGTATAATAGCAATGGTGGACCTGGTCTTTTAAGAAGTATCAAAAAGAGGTATTGCTAGCCTTTTTGCCCTCAGATGGCTGCAAGGGCATGGCTGTTTTAAATTTGTGTGTCTGTGCCTCATTTTAATCTGCCTTCTTTTATCTATTTTGCATATTGGGGAATAATACAGTTGTGAAAATATTACAAGGCTAGATCAGGGTCAACGGGTTGTATAAGCTTTAATGTATTGTATTTTACTATTAACTCTACTTTGAACAACTTGTTTGCTGCTGTTTCTAATGGCTTGTACTTTGTGGGAGTTTCCAGAAGCTGCTGTTCTATATTCATTTTGTTGTTTTGGTTTTTTTTCTTTCCACTTTGTGCCTGGTGTGCTAGACAGGTTACCTTGTTACACCCTCCTTCCAAACTCAAGCTTTTAAAAACTGTTTTGTAATAGTATCTATATATATATATATATATATATATATACTTGGATAATAAGAGTTAAGGTAGTAGTGCTGTCCTCAGATTCAGTGCACCTCCCTCTTCGCTGTCACATATAGGTGAAAATTGTGAAAGAACCAAGGCCATATGTGAGTTTTATTGAATGCATAAAGAATGATGAATGTATTGAATGTAAGTCACCGGTAATGAGCTGATTGCTCCTCTTTATTACCTAATAAAAATGAATGTGAAGAAAGGGGTATGTGAACTCTCAGCTGTTTTACACAGGATTGCAAATCCTTTCTGGTTGATAAGAGCTGAAAAAAACTATTGGTAACCATGGTATTTCTTGGTACACATCTAACAATCTCTATGTAAAGTGACCTTTAGTTTGGTATACATCACGGAAAGCCTTTCTTTTTTAGATATTCAGTGAACACAGGAAGTTATACATTTGTTGATGACATTGAAAAAATGTTTTATCCATTACCCAATAAATTTAGTATAATAATAAATGACTTGGATCAAACTGTTCTACACATAGTCAAATGTGTATATATAATTGTATGAATTTGTTTAGAAATACCCTGTAAAATAATCAAGACCATCACATTGAATGCAAAGTTTTTAGGTTTCATATTTGCTGAAGGATTTAAATTTTTTTAGTGTAGTATCCTGTCAAATTCTTCAAAATATTTACTGAATTATTTTTCTGTTTTCTTTTTCACTTTTTCTACTTATGAACTGCAAATAACTAAAACAAAACCATTGCTCATAATCTATATGAGATCGTTAATCATATCTGTGATCAGAGGGGGGCAGCAATAAAAACTGAATGTTCACAACAACAGCTCCATTTAGATATACTGGACCTATTTCTAGAGATAAGATGTCCTTGACACTTGATACTTTTATGATGTCACGCACCAGAACTGTTGGGATCTGAACGTATTTATATGTCTTCGTTCATATAAACTCAGATTTTTTGGTTTTTGCTAATAGTTTGATTGGATTTTTCAAAAGCAGCAAATTAAAGTGGATTATGGTGAGGAAATCATAAGTTACCACAATATTTGAGAAGGGAAACTTATGTGAAATCTTCTTTCCTTCAATCTCAGCATCAAAATATTGTTTAAAAATGAACAATGAATACTTAATATTTAGTTTTACTCTAAACTTTTTCAGATCTACATATCAAATCAAATTTGATTATTTTTACATTTCTTCATTTATGAGATATTTTTTAAACTAGAAACACAAATCCTGTTTTATTTATAGTACACCTAGAACAACTACAGGGACAATTTTAATAGAAACAATACAGTAATCAATACATACCCTGCTTCATGTTCTAAGGTCCCTAAAGATGCTTATCACTGGGTGAGCAGCTCTCACTAGCTCTCAGCTAATCAGAACAATGGGGGCCTCCATGTTTAGGTTAATATTTTCAAACAAGCAAACCCCCCAAGGATAAGTTATTTTACCTAAACATCAAACAAATATCTCCACTAATCCAAATAAGAGAATAAAACATTTTCCCTTTCTGTTTTATTTAACAGCTACATACAAAATGTGTCCCACACACTTTATTTAATATAGTTTGACATAGTGTATAGGGCTGTGTAAATGTATGAATCATACATGAGTACTAGCTTTTTTTTTTTAATTAGGAATTTATCTGGGAGCTATAATGGGCTACCTAACATAGCCATCCCATATGGAAAACAAACTGCAAAACAAATTAAATGGCTGCACTTTTATTTTTTACACCAGATCTAATATGATGCGAAACTTGTGGATTGTTGATGCACAGAATGTTTTCCCAAAAGTCTGTGAGAGACAGGTTATCTTTCTGATAATTTAAAATATTTAATTGTGAGCAATGAGTAACTCATATTTTCATTGCAAAATGGATCAGATTGTCATCAAAAATACCACTAATATAAAAAATAAAGTGCATATTTTCTTCTTTGAATTGAACAAAGATAAACATATAAAATGAGAAATAAGAGAGTAAAAATATTAGCACAAGATACTCTGTAAATTCATACATTCACAGATGATTTATTGCATGTAATGAAGGAGTCTTATTGAGGTAGAGTGTATCATAGCAGCAGCAGTGGCAGTTACATTATTATCACAGTTTGCGGTCATGGCAGTAACATTATTCCATGACATGAGTTTAATGAGTAGTAAATATGATTTGGATCTGGTGGTGTTAACGATATGAATTTGCAAATGAACAATAAAAATGAGACCATGAACAGAATCTTGCATTTACTTTTAATGTTAAACATTTACAAAATTGTGTAAACATGTTAATGTTTCCTTCTGTTAAGTATGATATTCATTTTAAATAAACAAAATCTACACTACTGTTACATTGAGACTATCCATCGTTCCATCCATTTTCTTCCGAATTATCTGGAACTGGGGTCCATGATCCCAAATCGTATTGAGACTATATGTAATATAAATACAGCAAAATCAGAAAATTATTTAAGTACACATGCTTTAAAGTAACCTTCTCAGCTTTTTTCAGTGGGTTTTAAACCTATGAAAAATGTACAACCCACACAACATTGCTCAAAACTAGTATTTAACTTTGTGTTTAGCCTGATAAGAAAAGTGACCTTTCCTCCACAAAAATGAGCCCTTCCTGAGCTTTGACTTTAGTAAACAAATGGATCAAGATCCATTGATGTCCATTGCCTACCAAAATGTAAACCCAGAATATCACCCAGCCGTGCAGCAAAAACATTACATATATGTGATTTTGCTGAACTGAGATTTCAAAAAACAAAAACTAAATACATACAATGTAAGATGCATCAAACCAAATTAAATTTCTTACAATCATACAGTACTATAAGTTACCTCATATTAAATCATACCAGTTTCAAACAAAAAAAATTATCCTTTTTTACATGTTCTCTACAAATTAACCCGTATAGTCCTAATTATGGCTTCCAAATATCTTCACAAATATTATTATAAAATATATAATTATGTAATATATTCAAATCTAATAATGTTTTTTTATACAATTGTCTTTGTAACATTATTCACTTCTGACCTAATGCCCCTGGTAATGCTGTACAGCCCAGACATGGTGCCTTGTTTGAGGCATGAGATGTTTAGGGCCAATCACAGCAATTGCAACTAGTTTTATAAACCAGACCACCCGGACAACCTTGCACAAAAGTGTTTCCATTGACACACTGATAGAAATTACTGCTATCATTGGGATTTACATAATTACCATCAGGCATTCCAACACAGGAAAATTCACCCCCAGAAGCAGTTGTGGTAGCTTTGGTAGTAGTTGTGGTAGCAGATGTAGTGGTGCTGGGCCGGTTTGTGGTAATGGCTGGTGTTACTCTTGCAGTAGTTGTTGTTGCAGATGTTGTAGTGGTGCTGGGCTGGTTTGTGGTAACAGTTGGTGCCAGTGTTGTTGCAGGGGGTGTTGTTGTTGAATCTAGAAACAGAGATGAACTCAATGCTAAAGTAAAACAAAAGGTATCTCATGTAAGAGGACATAATGCCTCTGACTTACCTGCTACCAGAAGAGAGCGGAGATGACTAATGAGGGGATTGCTTCCCCCACCACAGGCACGTCCAGTAAAATCATCCATATCCAGAGACCAAACAAATGCCCCCCCATATTGGTTATCTTTTACATACTGTGCCTGGAAACAAAAATATTTTTACATTGCAGATTTTATTAATCTTTCTTTTTAAATACATATAAATTGAAAAGAACACAATCACTTGTCAATTTATTTTAGGTCAAGACCAGAAGTACTATGATACTCGGATTTCTCCTATTTGGATTTGGAGGAAACCTGATGTAATGATCAGCAGCGGTTGAAGCCCTAACAAAGGCTGTGAACAAGCAAGATCAGGAGATGAACCGCATGCTGGCTGTGGTGGTTGAACTCAAAGGTGAGATGGGATAATATCTTGGATGTGCACAATTGCTTCAAGGCGGAAAAGTCCAACAAATTTGAAATATCACTCTCGCCATGTAGAGCAAGCAAGAGACATTTTCCATTAGACTCTAGGCTAATGGAAAATTCCTGGACAGCCTGCTCTCAAAGCAATAAGTGTTATTCTGGGTTCGGCCTCCTCCCCTTTATCTAATCTCTCCTGGATGTTATGGCGAAAGGGCACAGAAGAACTGCTATCCCCCTCCTCTACCCGCCAACATCTCTGGATGTGCCCAGAACTGTTGTCTCATCAAGGAAAATGGACTGTGGTCATTAATGGACATATTGAAAGCACTCATCATACACCCACAACTAATGTCTCAAATGTCAGATTGACTTCATGTGACTCCGCCTCCGATGTGACCCTCTGCTGAAATGTCTGACTCGTGTTACATGTGCTTTTCTTGTGCTGAGGTGTTTTTGAAATCTTAAACTGTATCCTGTCAAGGATAAAGTGTGAAATATGCTTTTTTTCCCCTTTCTTCCCCAATGTGGCTCCTATCTTTCCACAGAGATAAAGGCAGCTCTATAGGTAACCACATGGGACCTGGGAAACCAGGTAAGCGGTAGGAATCTAGCAAGCCATAAGAACACACCAAAGGCAGTGTTCTCTGGCATGCATGGCCTCAGTAAATCCGTTCCAATCTCAGCCCCCCCACCCCAATGTATGCAATGTATTGTGATGAACGGTTTGTACTTAAACTGATATCTCGATTGCAACATAAATTTTAGTTGACATTAAAGATTTAAAGATTGATTGATTAATTGATTGATTGATTGATTGATTGATTGATTGATTGATTGATTGATTGATTGATTGATTGATTGATTGATTGATTGATTGATTGATTGATTGATTGAGAAGGCAACAGTTGGAGGCTGGGTACTTCTAATACACAGACAAAGGCCTAACTGATAGAGTTGTTAAAAAAGATTAAAAAGTGCAGTTATAAAGTAATGATTACAGTCACAAAATTCTCTATGATATAAATCAATTTAGTTCAGTTCCTTTCATATACGTATAGCACAAATTCACAACACATAATTTAAGGCAATTTCCCTAATTCAAAAGTTTTCTATCAAAGTAAAGCAGCCGATAGCATTGAATCAAACCACACTGAAGTTTTTTTTTTAAATATTCTAAATGAAAATATAAATAAGCACTGAAAGAAAGTAAAAAGTCTTATTTTGCCAGCAGATAGCTTAAACTGTGCACAGAGCCAGGGAATGGATGAACCAGGCATAAGTTGTTTTACAGTTTAGAGGCCCTTGATTGAAAGGACCTGTTCCACCTTTCTTTTAGGTGGGGTTTAGGATCTACAAGCAGCAGTGTGTGGTTAAAAACTAAAATGAATATTCAGGTCACTAAGGGCCTTGTATGTGAACACAAGAACTCTAATCCAAGTTCTAAATTCTACATTAAGTTACAAGTACAAATTGTTCTTAAAAACTTGCAGATGGAAAATTGATGATTTGTCCAGTCTGTCTAAATAATATTCTCTGGATTTGCTCAGGAGACCATGTCAGTAGCTCACTCTAGATTAATAGAGAGGCACTCTGATTAAATTAAGGCACCCTCTATTACTTAATATATTGCATATCTATGTTTTACACATTTTTGCTCCTATTTTTTCCATTCTTAAGCATTTTCTCTATTTACTATAACAAGGTCACTTTAACCTAGCAAAAATTGTGCATGCAAATAAAATAAAAAGTCTGTTGGCTCATAGTTTTTTTTCTATAGTGTTTGGATCAAGTCCAAATAGCTCTGTGTAGGTGCAATATAATGCTCATTTATAACTTAAGGCTGATAATAGATGCATACCAAATCACTATAATGATATGAATATGCCCCACAAATGTATATTAGAAATACATGATACACACTTTGTTTGCAATCTAGGACATGTCGAGAAAAAAAAATAATAAGAAAAAGAGCCTGCTTGAAGTCTTTTCAATTTACAATTACAATAACTTTACAGATGAAAGAAATCTTGGGCTGAATCTTGATTTGAACTACGTTTCTAAGCCCTGTTTTTCACATCATAAACATGGTGTACATGCTTTTGAATAAAAACAGTAAATAAGTTAATAGTTAATATCGTATAAATATTGTAATACCAAATTTGATCTTTACAGGTTGTGCCTTTATAGTATGATAGGTATAGTAGCTCTAATTACATTTGGAAAACAGTGCCTTCCTTCAAATTGTAATTTAATGTATATGTAAGCCCATTTTGGGGGTAATTTTATACATCTGAGCAAAACACGGATAAGGCTGTCCTATATGGTTGGCATAAGAACGCTCTAAGGGGGACTCTTAAATACCCAAAATGTCAACCACTTCCTTCTGAAAAACTGCATAGGTGAAGCATGGTTTTTATAATGCCCTCCTGTGATGCTGGGCAATCTAAACCAAATAATAAGCAATGCAGCATCAATTACCAGCAGGTCAGCAGGATCTCTGAACACACACCCCCTCCCTTCCACTGGCAATGTCCTCCAGCAGTGCCAAGGCTGCCATCCCTCCACAAATACCCACTCTGTTGTGCAGATGTATATGTGATATTGTGTTAATTTTTTCCACCCTATGAATATAATCCCACTTAACCAGATTGGAATTATTCTGCAGAACCACCAGACATGTTTTTAAGTTATAATGAGTGATTCTCTGCTCCTCTGCACCCAGACAGGTTTGCATTTAAATAAAGGGATACTTATAGTTTAAGTCCAACTGAGGTTGTTTCTTGAGGTGTGCTAAATTATTGTATCAGGCTAAATACAATTGATCTTCATTATTTTGGTTTAAATTATAAAAGTTCAAACTTATTAAATGTTTTTTTTTTTATTTTCACTTCATTTTAAATTACCCAATTTAATTTCTTTTGGGTAAGTGCTAGTAATTTTTTATCGTTAATTGAAAAGCTATTGCAAATTTGCATGGAAGGTAAACGTTTTGTGTGAATTTTCAGACACTTTACTTTTATACATCCAGAATTATGTCTAAAACTTTTTACTTTACTTTTTTGTGTGTTGAAGGGCCTGATACGCTAGGCCCCCAAAGGTGTATGAATAGAAAATCTACCAACTTCCAATGGTAATTGCAGTGAAGCATCGTTGATGCTGTCTTGTTAATCCTCTTCTAAAGAAAAACACATTAATTTGCTTATTGGGTTTCCAATAAATGTTGTGGGCTGTGTTGGTCTGAGACTTCAGATAAAATATATTTCTCCCCTTCAAATTGGTTGGAATTTTACCTAGATATATTTTTTTCCTTTAAACAGACTTTTAAAATTAAAATCCATACTTCTCTGCTTACTATTCATTAAAAAAAAGAAATATGGGAGAGGCTTGGTTTGGCTGTAAAACTGGTGCCCCACTTCAAAGTCCTTTTGACCTTTATACAGCTATTCAGGATTGAAAATTCAGTTTCATGCTTCCAAACCCAATCTACCTTTTGTGGGTAATTACTGTGAGTAAAAGTTTAATCACTAACCTATTCAGTAGGTGGTCATTCTGTAAGGTCAGGGGCAATATTTGAACTATTGTAACTATAGTGCCATCTTCTGGCCAATTTTAATAACTAAATGTATGTGTGTTTAATACTCATCATCAAATGCAAATAATATTTTAATTCAAAAGGCAATCCCACATACTTTGAAGGACAGTGATGGATACATTCTTTTATAGCTTTTATTCTGTATTGGATTTCATACATTACCTTGATTTCAAAGCTCTGTTTGTTGTCAAATCCCACCCACTCATTGCCTTTGACTGCATAGGGTACCTTCTGCTCTTCAATCCAGTGTGTGGTGGCTCCATTAAGGAAAGTGCAAACCTGTAGTTATAAACCAATACTCTGAGATTTCAGCACTATCTAATGTGTTATTTTGGTTTTCAGTATTAATTATTTCTTAGCTTAAATGAATATTTTGGTTATATTTATAAAATTGTTACCTCATGATAAGCCAAAATTCCCGCTTCTTTGGTGTAGAGCCCAGCAGAGCCAGGGCCGTTGGCCGGTGCTCCAACACCAGTAGCTGCGGTTGATAAGCGAAATGTGCGCCCATATGTTGGAAAACCAACCAGCAGCTTCTCTGAAGGAGCTCCTTGGTCTCTCCAGTACTTCATGGCATAGTCCTGTGAAAAAAATTAAGTTCCCATGTCAAAACCGAAGATACGACATTGTTACCATACATATAACTTTGACAAGACTGAATCTTTTCACTTACAGTATTTAAGAAGACATGGTCACCAGACAGGCCAGCTCGGGTATACAGAGGGCTGTTGTGGCCAGTGAATGAATACCAGGCTCCATAGAAATCATAGGTCATGACGAAAATAAAATCTAGATACCTGTTAAATAGAATATTATTTAAAGGAAAAGAAATCAACATAAAATAAGATCCATATAACATTCAATATATTTTGGCAGTTAAATATCATAATTCTTTTATACAGTTTTGATCTGTTATTCTTTTTAAGATTAAATGTTGAAAAGTGTTTGTTAAAACATGTTATTTAGTTCACGATTGTGTTTTTACTTCAAAATAAGATTTAGCTGTATAGTAACATCTCATTGACTTACTTTGTAACTTCTGCAATCTCATAGCCATTGTCAATAAAACTCTTTCCAGCCGCCACTGCAGCTGTGAGCAGCAATCTTGGCCTATTGGTATCAGCAGCCTCCTTTTCAAAGGCAGCCAGTAATTCCTAAACAGAAAAGACATATCATCTGTTTATTGGGCGTCTGAACTTACCTCTAAGAGGAAATAATATGGAGATTGACTGTTCATCAGAGTCCCTCCAAGAACATTGAAATTACATTTTTTTTTTCCCAATTTCTGAAGACTTGGAGGTAGCACTGACAACATATAGTAACACTTGGGTGTAGTCGGCTCTTTCACTTCTTTTACTTAGGTAATAAAAATAATTTGAAAATGCTCCATCCTAACTGATACAGTTAGAGGTATTTTCAAAAAAATCAAAGAAGCAATGTTGGCCAAAAAATTATTAGTGATAATTTTACTTTTTTTTAATGCTAAAATATTGATTAACTTTACAACATCTGGGAGATTTGTACTGAGGTGAGACATTAGCAGAGTGGAAATATTTCTAACCTTGCAGAGCAATGTGAACCTTTGCTTGTCCTGAGGTGGGCTTCCTCGTGATCCAGGGTACTCCCAGTCCAGATCCAGTCCATCAAAGCCATGCTGTCTCAGAAATGCTATGGTAGACTGGATGAAGACTTGACGGCTGGCTGAAGATGAGGCCATAAGGCTGAATCTGTAAATATTCACAGAAGTCAATAGCTATCAAAGATAACATATTTATATGTTTACACATAAGAGTTTTGTAGACTTACCGTGATGTTCCAAAGCTAGCCCCACCAACAGCTAACAGAGTCTTCAGCTCTGGGTTTCTGTGAAGCGATGTAGAAACATATACATAATCTAAACCTCATCATTATACCGGCTTTTTCCATACAGGATCATAGGGGAGCTGGTACAGACCTCTAGGGGTCTACATACAAAAGGCGGGAATATACTATAGACATGTCGCCAGCAGTCACAGGGCAATGCAGAGACTTAAAACCATGTACACACACACACACGGGGGAATTTAAAGACTAATCAACTTGACAGTCATTTTTTTAGACTTTAGGGCGAAACCATGGTCACAATCAGAAAGAAGCCATATATTCAAGGGAAGAGCTTTGAAACCATTAAAAAAACGTAGTACCTGGTGATACTCTGAGCTTTAAGTTTGAATAGGATCACATTCTTAAGTCAGATGATAATACTAAAATTGTCCAAAAAAAGACAATGTATAGATTCATGACTATAGTCAGGAGCAGTGTAGAGCTGCCGGCTGAGGAGCCATATACTGGGAAGTATGTGTAGGTTCTCACAGAATCATTTCTGTTCATCTTTCCTGGACTTTGATTCTCCTGGATTGGTGTATCAATCTGTAGTGATATTTTTCTGATTGTAATAAAGTATTTACATGTTAAATTTTTTTTTTGTGCTAGTAAGTATTGTTTTCTAAAAATCAAGCTCTTTTAAATTCTTGTAACAATACAAGTCAACCTTCATGCTAAGGTATGGTTTTCTTCATTAATGATTCACTGTTATACAACAGCAGTTTGACTGATTCAAAGCTTACCTGCTCTTGACAGCATTAAAGGATTTATAGAGGTTCTCTTCATCACAATGGAAAGTAGACAGCTGGTTAGAGGAGCTGATTACTGAGAAGGCATAGATCAGATGTGTGCAGAGGTTTGGATCTATGTTGTCAGTTGTGTATTTGCCATCTCCTGTTCTATACTGGGACCAACTGGTAAAGTAGCACACCAGTTTGGTGGAGGAAACTGCAAAAAGAGAAGAAAATTGTAACATTAAGTTTGTGTTCAAACTATTCATGTGTGATTGCCAGATACAAATGAATATAAAAGATGATACCAGCTTGAAGACATATCAGAAGTATGAATCCTGTAAAGACAAAAAAAAAGAGGATTTATTAATCTTTTTAACACTTGAAATAAATTATGATATAAAATAATTCACATACCAGCTGAGATCGTCAGATGAGCCATGTCTTGTTGGATAAAGTTTTTTCCCCAGACTAATCTGAAAATATAGCACTGGTTAATGTAACAAATTATAAATAGGATATATTGGACGCTTAAAAAGCTAAAAGTGTACCCTTTCTTAGGTGGTTTGCTGTATGCCTGGCTGCTCCAACCATTCTCTCTAATATATATGATGAGAAAGTTATTTCTTTGAATCCTCTGCAATTGGGTTGTCCCTTAACCAATCACCTTCTGCCTAAGACAGTCACCATTGTTACCATTCTAAAGATTTCAGCTAAAACACTCCCACTTTACCTCACTCTGCAAGTATCTATCATTTGCATACCATTCAGCCACTCCTCTTTAGAATTTGTGTCTAATAGTTCAACTTGTTCTCTCTGGGTACACCGGCTTCCTCGCACAGTAAAAAACATGACTATTAAGTTTAATTAGCTTCTCTACATTCTCCTTAGGCGTGAGTGTGTGCGTGAATGGTTGTTTGTCCTGTTTGTCTCTGTGTTGCCCTGCGATGGATGGCAACCTGTCCAGACAGCTGGAGATAGGCACCAGCAACCCCTGCAACCCTGCTTAGAAGGTAGATGGAAGATGGATGGATGGATGGACAGTTGTACATAGAGGTTCTTACAATACAAAAATATCAGAAAACATGCTGTGGCCCCTTTATTCCAATAAGCAGAGTTCTTTTAAGTTAAAAACTATGAGTAATTAGAATACAAAAAAATTACATTTTGTTAAAGCAAAATGAGTAAGGGACAGTTCTATAGGAATTCTAAAGAATAAGGGACAAGAACTACATAATTTAAGTGTTATTTTCCTTGCCGGCAAAACAGTAGACAACTGTATAAGTGTTAATATCCTTTATGGAAGTATGCAACTTTAATGCTTACCTTAAGTGTGCTTCCATTTGTCAATCAATTTCATTTTGATACAAATTTAAAAAAATAATCATTTTATACTTTATTTGATTATGCAAACAAGGTTTCAGGTCCATGTAAATATGTACAGCAGCAGACCTGCACAATTTCTGTCTTTCTCTTAATTTTACATAACAGTTTACCTTTAGATCAATTGCACCTGTGGGGTAGGGTGTTACTGCTTCTTTTTGTTTTTATTTGATTGCTAACGTCAGTCTGCTTCCACGAGAACCTCCCATCCAGCCAGAAACTGACTCACTTAAGCTTTCCAGCTTTTACAACTTAGCTTTAAAACTCCTTCCAAATAATTTGCAAAGACTATCTCATCAACAAGGTGAACAAATCACAGCAAACAATAGACTCTAATGGCCAAGGGAAGGGCTGGTATGTCATTTATTTTCAAATCTAACTTGGAATGTTTAGGTGGATATTCCTCTTAAAAAGATAGTAGATCCCAAACTAGTTTGCTTGGTGGCAAGCCTCCAACTGAAACATAATAATCCTCGAAAGGTAACAAATTGTATTTAAAGAAAAAATCAGAATAACAGTAGTTTCAATGACACAGATTATCAAAAATCGGCTCAGACATTCAAACAAGTAGCTTTAGTGTATTTCGTTTGAGACATATGCTGTTGCAGTTTTAAGAGGCTGCTCACGAACATAAATGTAACCGGGTACTGTAAGTGTGACATCCTCTAGTATTTCATTTTATTTTGTTTCAGAAATACAATTTTAGTACTGTTAATATTACTCTAATGTATTTATACAAAAGCTAAGGTGTGTTGCCTAACAATTACAGGGTGACGAAAATAAACAAGTAACTATATTTTGACCACAGATTTTCAGTAGCATTTAACATATAGCAGCTAATAAACCATTTGGTTTGGTGATGGTCGTCACATGCTGTCTCAGAAATGAATTGGAATTCAGCCATACTCTGCCTTTGCAGTTCTTCAGTGCTGGTTTCATTGCTTTGCTCCCCGTGTGTTGTTTCTTCCAGGTGTTCTGCTGGTTTTTTGCTTTCTTTTTAGTGTTCTTGGATTTGTGTCCCTCTGTTGGCATGAACTTACCATTAAATCAGCAAACTCAGCTCTGCATCCTCTTCTCTGCATTTGGGTCCTAAAGCAACCCCCACCAAACCGTGACAGGCAGTAGTAGCAGTGGGATTAGATTTGAGCCAGAAGATCTTAGACCTCTGGGCAGTTGGTAAACTTATAGCAAATCTGTAATGCATTTTGGTGCTATACCATTAAGTGATCTATGGACTAACAGAAGTATATTATAATCATGTTGTTATTCTGTGTTCTCTCTCAATGCTCAAGGCTGCTGTTGGATGGTTCACAGAGTAAAACAGGTTAGATATGAGATGTTTAGCACCTGGTTTCTTTAAACAGAAACCATCTTTACTGAAAAGATGTCTTTTACCCCCCAAGTATTAAAGTTGTCAATGAAGTCGCAGGTAAAGCAGCACACATGCTTTAAAAAAAAATGTAATAATCACCAGAGGTTTCAAAAGAGTGGAACAGGTCAGCTGACAAACACCTTGATTTTGCAGTCAACAACTTTATTCGGCAGATGCCGACGCATTTGTGTGGCCACTTTTGGTATAATCTTTTGCTGCTGTAACACCACAATTTCCCCAGTGTGGGACAATAAAGGGTTCTATTCTATTCTATTCTATTCTATTCTATTCTATTCTATTCTATTCTATTCTATTCTATTCTATTCTATTCTATTCTATTCTATTCTATTCTATTCTATTCTATTCTATTCTATTCTATTCTATTCTATTCTATTCTATTCTAATTGACCCTAAAAATGTGTCTGCTGTTTAAACATTCAGTGTTAAAGACTGAATTAAACCAACCTTTTAGAAATCATTTTTTTTATTAAGTTGAAGATATTTTTTTGCTTCATACAAAGCTGATGTTAGATGTCAAATCAACACTGTTACATATAAATCACAAAGTCACAGATTAAATAATATTAGGATAGAAGTTCAGGATCCTTTAGTGAATATTCTACAGCATGTCTTCTATAATAAGTGGGGTGTTGTTGGCTTTTTAGTTTTAATAAATAAAAACAAACAAAAAAGGTACTGAACTAAAATTTGAGTCAACATTTGAGGAAAGTATTTTCATTTTCAATTTGAATGCCAGTTGTTAGGAATGAAAGTCGGAGATGAAGCTCTTATTAGATTCTTAAGAAAGAGATTATACAGTTACTCCCCTGACAGTGCAAGTGTAGTGTACGGTATAACAAATATGGAAATGGCAAGAACTCAGAATAAATAAAGTGCTTAATTTTTGAGTTACCAGAATGAAAAACTTTAACTGACCTACCCTTTTTAACTCTAGTTAAGGAGGGTAGGTCAGTCCTTGTGAAGACATTAATAGAAAGCTCAGTCTTTCACTATATTTCAGCTTATGTAAAGATATGAACTATATTGTATGTACAAAGTAAAAGGTCTTTTTTTTTCAACAAATAATAAAAATATATCTACAGTAAAGATAGAAGAGCCCAAATTCTTCACGCTTTCACCAACAGATCCGTGAAGGTTGAGTCTTGTAAAGATTTAATAGCAGCTCCAACTTCAGCTGTTCCCTCCTCAGACAGAAACAGATCCTCACTCCCTAAGAAGGAACCAACAGAAGGAAGTCCAAGGGCAAAAAGCTGACACACAGAAGGAATCGGTTCTTGAGGTTAAAGTCTCATGCCAGAGAGTAGATGGTTTTGATTGGTGAATGGAGTTCTAGATTTCCACCAAAGTCCAAGTCCCTCACATCTCTCCTTGTTCCGGTGTACTGGCCAATGAATGAACCATCCTCATTAAACTGAATTTCTCCTCCTTCTCCATATTCCACGAGGCTGTCGTCGCTGTCTGATCGCTTCATTATCGCATCCACAGATGGCTGAGCTCTCTGAAGCCCTCTTTCCTCCTCTCTGCCACAGAGAATAGGAAAGCATGGGGACAAATATATTATGAGGAGTCTGCCTTATAATTACTAAAATATAGTTAAGGATGAGAATTAGTGCATTACTGCTCATACCTCCGAGGATAAAGCAGAGTTGAGACACGTGCTATCCTGAAATAGGAAAAGATTTAATCAACAAAACAGTATAATTATAACAATTAAAAATAAAATGAAAAAAGACATTTTATTTGTTCATAAAACTATTTATGCTCAAGAGTAATGTCAGTTGTATCAATAAGTTAACATTTAGTCTTTTTCATACCTTTCAAGGGATCTTGAGTGGTTCAGTGGAAAATAAAAGAGAAAATTGAGATTTGGGAAAGGAAAGGTTTCAATAGAGAAAGATAAGTAAACAAAAAATAACAAACAAAACTTTTTTAGCAAAGTGTTACAAAAAATAAGATCCAAAATCTGATTTCCACAGTATCTGTGCTCATATGTGCTTAAGTATAATCAACACTGAGGACACCTTGAGAAGTTTTTACTCATTTGTAGCCAAATACAATCCAATGTGTTTAATCACTGCTTGTTTTTTCACAAGGGCACAAAGCAAAACAATCATTATTGTTATGGTAAGATTAGATTAATACTGTTAATTAACTTTATATATATATATATATATATATATATATATATATATATATATATATATATATATATATATATATATATATATATATATATATATATATATATATATATATATATATGTAATACTCAACACAGAAACACATTTTTTATCATATATTAAACTTGCATAAAGAAAACAAGTAAGGGCTAGCTATCACCTGCTTACAAACTAATTCAATGTCTTTTTGTGCTCCTCAAGATTGTCTTTCATGTTTATAGCTTTATTAACTTTCTGATTTGTTCCCTACATTTTATTAGGCCACGTGAGTAAAATAATTTCTAATTTCACATCACCAATTAGACATCATAAGAATATCAAATTGAATAAAGAAAAACAAAAACATTTGGGAGTAAAGTTGACAAACTGCAAACTGGCTGTAAACTAAATATTTGGTCATTGTTAGTTGTGTCCCATTTTAAAGCTGGCAACTCAAGCCAATGCTTAGACTCCAATCAGACCTAAACCTCAATGATTTTAGACCTTATTTGGGAATTGAGTTTCATAAACAGTATTTCCATCTATCCGTCCATTTTCTATCATGCTTATCCCTGCTGGGGTCGCAAAGGGTGCTGATGCCTAAGTGGAAGTGCTCAAGACAACAAGGGGGAAATGATTATAGAATCATATGTGACTAGACACTTAAGGCCTTTCCTAATTAATGTCTACTCCCTCCCTCTTTTAATTACACACTGTGCTTGCTTTGGAGCACCCTCGGAGCTGAACAGAGTCCTCTAGATGAAACCAGAGATGCTTTTGAGATGGTGTTCCCTTGTAATACCTGGACAGGAACCTGTCATCCCCATGGTAGAAGTCCAAGCTCTGGCAGCGGCCGTTCCAAGAGGTATCTATTATATTTTGGTTCTTCTAAGTCTTTAAAACACAAAAAAATGTCCTGTGGTTTCATATCCTGTTTATGTTTTTACTAGGGATCTTGTCCATTGACATTGATTTGTAGTGATATCAACAAGTGATGTCATCAAGATGTGGTCAAGATTGTCTTCTTCTTGTGTTTCTTAGCACTTCTACCATGCAGGGCAAGAGTCTACCTTTTTTTTTACTTGCATTTGCATTTTTCTATTAACGGCATTTTCCTTTGACTGTGTTTGTGTGTTTGAGGTAATGATGTTGTTTTGTATTTGAAATACTTTATGTATTTACAGCATATTTGTGTTTTTTTAGTACATTGGGACCCATCAGCCACTGTTCTAGTCCTTCAACCGTCTGATTATACCAGAGGGATTTGATTAACTGTTTATTTACTTTTGTATTGCAATGTGCCAACTTGTGCTTCAGCTGTGATATAACAGATTTTTCTATAATTTCTCACAATTTCACAGGCTTTCGTTTAAAAAAGCAAGTCATAATGCACAGACAAATGGCAAATTAAAAGGAACAATGTTTTTTAGAATATACATAGCACTCGTACAGAGAACATGCTACGATGTGACAGAGCTGTAAACAACTCTGTAATCTACCTTACCTGTAATCAAATGATCCCTCTTGATCTTTATCATCTACTGGCTCCAATGAAATGTCCTTTTTGTCCCGCACTAACAGACAGAAAAAGTCATACATGGTCTGCCAAGGAAGGTAATTCATGTACATATCAACAGGAAGTGCATAGAATTATTTATTGTTCATATCACTCTGATAGGAAGAGTTGCTTGATTTTCTATGCAGCCCCACAAACTATGGAACATTTTATATGTACGAACTTTTCCAAGAATTTTAACCATTGTACCTGGATATTTCCCCCCTCGGCTTCTCTTGATGAAACACACTATTAGGAGGATTAGCACGATGAGAGCCACAGCGCACATAATACCAATGAACCACCCTTGAGTGGAAATGTCCACCTGGTCCTGAGCATATACTACAACACAGAAAGACAGGAAATCAAAGTTCACTTCTTAGACCCCCAAGGCTCTTATGTCAAATACTCAGGAAATGAGTAGATTACTTTCTGTGGTGTAGTGGGGAGACTCCTCCGTATGCCACTCTCCCAGTCCAATCCTAGTTTGCGCAGCCACAGAGAATCTGTAGCGAGTATAGCGGTCATATCGTCGAATAGAGAAACTTGTTACATTTGGTGGAAACTCCTCAACTTTCAGCTCCTCTCCTCTGGTTGCATTCACTGTGAAAATAAACCCCCCCCAAACAAAAATGGATGTTTAACAAAACCCAACCAACCTTTGATACTGCAGCTGAAACATTGAACTTTAAAATAACTTGTATGGTTTTGAGTGAATGAAAAAGTGTTTATTATCCCCTTCAAAATATACTTTAGTAGTATTTCAATCTCCGCGTGCAGAATGTTACCAGCTTTTCTGGAAACACTGGCAGTAATTGACTTAATTTCTTTGGGTGTGTTTGGTATGTGTTATAGTGTTACCTGTTTGGTATTTTAGGCTGTAACCAGTGATGACACCATTAGGCTCTTCTGGTAGATCCCAGTCAACATAAATACTGTCCAGGTGTCGTTGTTGGATCCTGAAAGCTCTTGGAGCAGATGGTACTATCAAAAACAAAACAAGGAGATTTAAAGGCATGATGATGTGAAGTGTATAGATAAACAGCAACTTAAAACCTGCAGGTAATTGCAGATGACATGTTTCTTAGAATATTTATGTATTTTTGCATTAGACATTTTATTTACCTCCTTCAGGAGTGGAGAAGTGGATGTGATTACTTGGTGGTCCTTCATACCGACTGTTTGCCACTACAATGTACATCTTGTAGTTGCTGTAGGGAATGAGCCCAGTGAGTACACCCGAGGGTTCTGGATCATCATTTAAAAACGCTTTGGACTTCATGCCTCTATTGACCCTGTGCCACCTGAGCTGGCTGCTGTCTCTCCAGTAGTAGACCTTTAAAATTCAGAAAAAACAGTAATCAGTCTAAGAAAAAAAAAGAGATCTGAGCTTCTTGCTTATGTAGCTGACATTCTGTGTTTCTGGCCAGACTTCAATATCAAACAGTGAGAACGGTAACAAAAACTGAATAGAGATTCTCATAACACCAAGAACACCAAATAAAACTATCAGTACCGCAACTACATATTCAAAGGCAGCTAAAAAAGTAAACGCTGATTTAGTTTACCACAACGGTACATCACTAATTTCTCTAGGTTAATATGTTGCCCACACCAAGAAGCAAACATTCATACTTTAAACCATAGGCAACTTGGTTACCTTGCCCTGGATAATATTGGTATTTTCAAGAGGATGCTGGTGTCCTCCATATAACTTTTAAATTCAAAGATAACATCCTGTCTTGCAGAGAGAGGCAATTTTACAATTAGCAGTTGCTTTCAGAAAAGTATGCAAGCACATTTTTAGCAGCTAACCACAGTCATTCACCTCAAATCAAAGCGTGAACACCTCAAATCACTGTAACATTGTAAAATCTAAATATAGAGGATTAGTCGGCAAAAGTCATTTGGTTCAATTCTATTTCAGCTAGTTTCTGGATTCCGCTTAAATATGTTTCGACAATATTTCTCAATAATTTACATTAAAACATTAAACTATAAAACAGCTGATTATAGTCAGGTAATGATGAATTGGTTTCTTAATAAGTGTTAGGTAGAATGTTTAACTTTATATGTGGGTTCTGAATAAACCCTGACAAATGATGTCACAGATTTTAATGCATTTTCTCTTTGGTAACCCAATTAGTGAAAAACATTAATAATTAGGAACCAAGGCTTAATTAGTCATTACATGACCATTGACAACTGTTTTTGTGTACCCTTAAAGGAGAATATCTGCTATGTTTGGTTGTAGTTTCCATTAGTCAATTTAACATTTCCCAAAGTCGTTCCCTTGTACGGTAGTTCTTCAAATGTTGTATACCTTGTGTAAAGTTAAACCTCTTCATAAGCTATATGTGTGCTGCTGTACGTACAAAACATAATAAATTTCATTTTGCTTGCACCTATAACAATCTGCATCTCCTAAATCTATTTTCAGTGATAAAAAATGATAAGGGCATGTTTCTCCATTCTAGGCATTCAAACAGCAACTGGCAGATGGAAGGAGAAATAACTAGCAGGGGCAAACCTTTGGCAGTTTACAGGTCAGTGGGGCCAATTGTTCATAATGAGATACAGTCTGTCACAGATCCTGGAGTTTTTTTTATGGATTATAATATATATATTTTTAATTGCACAGTAGCCATAGTATGTTCTTTGGGTTGACGCTTCCAGTCTAAATGGAATTAGAAACTCTCAAAAAGTTTGACAATGCTTATGGTACCCATATAGGCTTTTTAACTTGGGCTAGTCAGGAACCTCTTCATTTCTATGTTGGAACTCTAACAGGTCAATATATTTTATATTTCCTACTTTGAAATTCTAACTTTAATACACAGATAACATGAAATTTTATATTTTTTTTATCCTGAAAATGTCCAAAAATCAGTGTTTTGTTTTTTGTAATTTTTATATATTACCCTTAAAAATGTTTAAGAAAACAGGGTGGAGGAATTTGCTAGTTTTTTTCTTTTTCAAAAACGTTATAAAAAATACACTTATTTCATAGTAAGATAAAGATTATTGGCATATGCATAGCTGCTGTATTAACATATTTAGTTTTTTGGGCAGTCATCATGGACCCACCTTGTATTCTTTCAGTTCTCCCATAATCGATTCACGTGTCACTGGGTCCCAGTGTACTTGAACCTGAGTGCTCTCGATGTCAGAGACTCTCAGGTTCAGGGGTGCTGCTATTGGACCTTAGAAAAATAGAAATTAAAAATACTAACTTATCTTACCTGTTACTAAAAGACATCTCAGAGCAGTTTTCTAGGCATGAAAAAGAAATACAAAAAAAAAAAAAAAAATGTGTGTGGTGTATTTTTCTGTGGGATGGCATGATTGACAGCAATATAACATGTGCTGCCCTGGGCAGAAATTAAAATGTTTAAATTATTTAGCAAATTAGCTTAAAATATCTTCTTAAAGGTCTTGATTAGCATTATAAAGTGGAATAAAAAGTAGGAATATTTTGGGGATTTTGCCAAGGGCTATGTTTTAGTGAATTTAACTGATGTTTAGTGGGTACTTTTTAAAAACTTCTCATAATTAAGTTAAAAAGCAACAGACAGTACTCACGGTCTTCCCCAGAATAACCAATGACCACAGGTGACTCTGGTCCAAGCCCAAAGTCATTAACTGCCTGGACTTTGATCTCATAGGGGGTGAATGTATCTGCGTCATAAATGTAATACTTCAGCCACTTTGTGGTGGCGTTTTTCCACTCCTCCCTGGAATCTCGCCTTCTCCACCACACCAGATATTTCAAGTGTGGTCCATTCCACTCTCTCCATGTAAGAGGCTGGGAACACATGGAGTAATTGGTGAGGATAATAATTCTCTCTGCAGGTTAAAACACTTTAAAAAATTTGTTACCTCCCAGCTAATTTCCATGTTATTTCTCCAGGTACCCACACCTTTCACATTCTTTGGAATGACATCCGGAGCTGCAGGAGAAAACACAATCTGTAACTTTGACATAGAAAGATATGTTAAAGGATGTGGAACATTATACATTTTGTTAACCATTAATTTAATGCCAAATATTGAGGGCTTTGAATTTGCAAACTTAAAAGTAAGATTTTTTTTTTTTTGTGGTTTTCTTTGGTATCTTCATGTGGAGAAGAGTGGCTTAACTGGAATGTCTACTAACTCTGTGGTAACCTAAATTAATCCTTAAGTAGAGCAGACTGATTAAGAGCCTGAGGCATCCGTGCGCACCTTCTGTCAGAGGAGACGCATTCTTAAAATATAAGAAGGAAAGTACTAACACTGAAGAGTACAAATATAAAACTATCTTTAATATATTTTACTCAGAATAATAACATTGTTACTTTATTGCTAACTATTCTTTTCCTTGTAGCTACTTTTCCAGTTTTCCATTCTTACATTCCTGTACTGTGTCTAAGTTAAACTTGTATACAAGGTTCATCAGATCAAGTGATCAAAATATCACTCAATTTATATAGTAACTTTATAAAATTATTATATTGACAGTACCAAACCAAATTAGCAGGAATGATTTGTATAACAATGCTCAACTGTGCATCTATCACTTTCATGGGGTGCTTTATTTGGTTCTGATATCACAAGTAAAGTAATGCAGACTAATTGAAAAAAATGTCCTTAAAATAAGATATTGACAATTGATCTATGCAAAACTTTTTAATTGATTGAGAAATTTAACTGAAGGCTGTAGAAACAAAACTCCCGTCAAACCTTGTGTAGAAGAAGCAACATGTTATGATAACTTGAAACTTTTTAATTACATTAGAACATTTTTTTTTCTTACATAACATTTAACAGGGGTAGGTCATACAGAGCTGCATGTCTGTGCATTCTTTATTATTTCCTAATTTCCTTGGGTACTACAGAGGGACTCTATACCGTTTATGTCTAAGAAAAAAAATAGCCATGGAAGGATATTGATTTTCTGTGTGGTAACATTTGGATTTTATTTGACTATTATGTATCTTAAAATGATAAAATGAGGAATTTTCTTGCATTCTTAATTTAATTGTAATAATAATATCTGTCATTACTTATAAACATTCTGAAGAAATAAATTCTGGCAAGATTACATTTCAAATCCTTTACTTAACTTTTCAATGGTAATACTTTACTAATCTACATATATATCCATTTTTTATGTCGTGAGAGTTTTTTTTTTCCGGAAAAAACATTGTCTTATCTGACCAATATATTATGATCTCATTTAATTCCCAGGTAAGATTAAGTATTCTTTTCATTTTACATTAATCATTATAGGCCAGAGACAGCCTTTTCTAGAAGGCCTCTTGTACTACAGGTTGGGATGTGGATAATGGTTAGTAGTTGCTGATTTTAACAGTAGAGTGTCTGGTGCACTAATTACATTACATCTCTACCATAAGAAAAGAAGCATGCATTGCTCACTAAATGTCTACACAAACAAAGGTCCTAAAAATAAAATGTTCTTCAGTTCAAAAATATTAGAAACTATGCTGCAAATATTTCAGTTAAAATGTATTGTTTTAGAAAATGATTTAGGTGTAAGATAATTTAACACTGTTTTACTCATTAACCATATGAATCAATACATTTAGAATTAATTATTTTTCCTTAAAGCACTAAAAATGTGTAAAACAAATGTTTGCAAATTTAGAGGGAAAGAACTACAAGTGTGAAACCCACGTGCACCGCTTGTCTGGAAGCGCTTAGATGGAAGACTTGGACGACTGGACCCAATTTCATTTATAGCATTGACTCTAAACTCGTAGTAGGTGAAAGGTGAGAGATGCAGAATGACAGAGTTAAGGTTTCCTGGGTATGTTGATAGGTTTTTCCATTTTCCTGGTATCCAGTCATCATCATCATACTGCACTAAATACTCTGCCAGAAAACAGAAAATAATGCATAAGAAGGTCATGAAGCACACACATAATAAAAGAAAAAAAAAATCGCCAAAGTAAATTATGAGTATATTTAAATTAGAAGCCTTACCAGTAATGGGGCTGTGGTTGCTGTCTCCAGGAACCCAAGTGAGTCGTACAGTACGTTCATATGGATCTGACAGCACCAAGTTAGTGGGAGGATTTGGACGGTCTAAAAATAAACAGTCAGAGAAAAAACTAAACTATTGAAAAATTCAAAGACTAAAGCCAAAAGTAAACTTCTAGAATATTGTTTTCTTCCTCTGGGTCCTACCCATCACCATTAGGTGCGCTGATGCAGACTTCTGTTCGAGCTCATTTCTAATAACACATGTGTAATTTCCTTCATCCCCTCTATTTACATTAGTAATGACCAAATTTGATTCATCCAAAGTGACCCTGATCAAACAAGATAAAAAAAAAAATCAGATAGTACAATAGAGCAGAAAAAAATACTAAAATGCTAGTTATAAAATACTAAAAAACAAAAAGATAACAAATTGATTTAATTTGAAGATTACCTCCAATTAAGTTGGGCTTGCTTTTTGTTTTTCATCCATGTTGTGGTGATTGGAGTTGTGATATCTGCTTGTACGCCACATTCGAGGCGCACATCACTTCCGCGCATGACTTTCATACTCTGTGGTCTGGTGACGATTATTATGGGCTCTGAGATAAAAATAGTAAAACTGTTATCATGACACCTTTAAACTTCTTACCAACCTCAAGATTTCCCTTGTGTTTCTATATTTACCTTTGACCTCAACTCTGACTTGAATTTCATCTCTCCCTGCAATGTTGCTGATCACACACAGGTAGGTTCCCTGGTCTTCTATCTGAATGCGTTTGATCTCCAAAGTCCCATTACTGTGAGTGTTAAAACGATTTCCCTCAAGGTTCCCTTGTCCATATTTTGACCTGTGTTAGATAACCTTTAAACAAACTGATGCTGGAAGGTTCTTCCTTTGCATAAATTAAATCTCAACTAATGGAACCTTACCATCGTAGTTCAGGCACAGGAGAACCAAAGAAGCGGCAGTCTAAAAAGGCTCGATTACCCGCGATAGTCTTTATGAGCTCATTTCTTGGTCCGATAATACGAGGAGTTGCATCTAAAGGGAAACAAATACAAGAACACCGTGATTAATTTTGTGTATAGATGTCATGTTTTACCTGTTATTTATTTCTTAACAAGTTGTTCTTGGAATTTTTGAAGCAGATTGACATAAATATGTTTTTTAAATCTCTTCCAATAGGCTGCAAATTCTGCATATTGTTGAAGTGTCTATTTACATAAATTTTCCCATAAAAAAAGGACTCAGTGGTCTTTAAAATAGACTACTTTGTATCATATATTTAATTTTGTTGCAAAATATCCAGTAGATTTTAGCACTATTGACAGATTTGTATAAAACTGGATCAGCGGCAAAAATTTCATACTGGACTTAAAAGGTTGCTAACCCCTGATCAACATAAAAAAAGACTACATTGTGTTACAGTTAGCTTCTCTTAAACATCAAATGAAGGGGCATCTTACATTGGCTAAGGAGACCAAACTATGCAATTGACAATTACATTACATTATTTTAACAGCTTTTTAATTTGTGTTTTTGTTTATTATATCTGTTGATATAATTTTATAAGAATGAAGAGTGAATTTTGTCTTTTAAGTTGGTAAATTTTTGTTAACACTATTTTAACTTTACCAACTACTGATCTACGACTCCTGGAAAAATCCAATAATTATAAAACATCTTCTAGCTGGGAACCAGTGGATTCATCCCAGGTGAGTTACAAACCAATCAGCAAAGGTAGAGCTGTTTCCCTCTAATGTACAATTATATCTCCAATACAGGAAGATGGTGAAAATATAAAAATCGCCTTCATTTTAATAAGAATTCCATTGTGGTTGAAAATAAAACTATGTCTGAATAAAAAAAAATATATATATAATGATAATTTTGGCTGAATTTGAAGAAGCCAAAAGTTGCTAATTTAAAGCATACTTTTTGGGTTCAATGGCTAGTTGACCTGAAATATCAACTTAAACAGTTTCCAAAGATGTGGAGTGTTTTAAGGTATAGCCATAAAAAAATAAAAATAATAATTTAATTACCTCTCCTGAATAGTAAAACCTCTGAAAAAATTCTATATGTTTTGCTCATGTTATGACTGTAGGTAACATGGATGAGTGATGAGTGAATGAATGATTTTGCCTTTTGGATTGTTGACCTGACCTGTCCAGGGTGTACCCCGCCTCTCGCCCATTGACAGCTGGAGATAGGCACCAGCACCCCTTGCGACCCCACTTGGGATTAAGCGTGTTAGAAGATGGATGGATGGATGGATGGATTGTTGACCTTTGTAATAATCTTCCACAACTTATATTTAAAAAAACTTACGCAGCACATTGACGAATGCATTAGCCAGCAGGTACCCATATTCGTTGGATGCGTTGCACTGATAGACAGCCGTGTTCTCGGTGGTCACAGTGCGAAAGGTTATTGTTTCTCCAGAAACCTGCCTGTTTGGCTGAGGTGTAGAAGCTGAAAGAGAAATTACATGCCATTGTAATATCCACACACAGACACAAACAAAAATTTTTGCACCCCTACTAAATGTGTATTAAAAGCCTTGAAATATGTATTTCTCAAATGAACATGGTCATCTTAGATTTAAAGTAAAAAAAAAACTACAACAACATCCACAAATTGTTGGGTTTTTTTCTTTTATCAAATTTCCTCTTTTTGTTTTCTCTTACCAGAAACATTTTATGTATTATTTAGTTCTATGAACTGAATCGTTTCAGGCTTAAGAAGTTAGATTAAGGCTAGTCAACAACTTCAAATTTTCATCCTGCGTAGTCTGCAATGTGCATTTTAAGAGTAAAGAAACAATTTTTAGTTTTCAACCAATCATTTGGACCTTCGCTGACTTTTGTTTCTTAAACTAAAGCTAAGGCCAGGAGGTGCGCTGGAGGGGTTGCGTGTTCGGCTCTTCACAACCGCTATTGAGCATTTTCCTTTGGATAAACGTTACATGCACAAGTGCACTCATACAAACAACTAAAGGTGCTTGGTTCCAGGTACTTAGAGATTCACTTCCATACAGAAAGCCCATATTCTTATCTTGAGCTACCACAGTATACATGTCAGATAAAATAATACTACTTATACTTTAACGATAGTACCTCGGTGTTACTTTATTGTATCTCTTATACTATATCCATTGGTTTTGCTGTTCTTTTCACATTTCTTTGCAGGTGATGAAGCAAACTGAAGTTGTTTTATCTTTATCTCCCTTTTATCTCCTCATTCTTTAATCTTTACTCCTTTCTTTTCTGTTTTCCCTTTCCTGTTCTACTTACATAGCAGTGTCCATATAATCTGTAATACTCCCTACATGTTTTATAATAAAGCTATTTATATGCATAAATCAAGTGGATCACAATGGCGACAGCTGTACTGCTCCACTTGTGAAAGTAAAATCTGTTGGGCACATAATTGCCACTGTTAAAAAACAAAAAAAACAAAGCAAAGGCCTCGGAGATAATATTTAAACAGGTTGAGCAAGACATAGCAAAAGCATGACTACCTTTAAGGGAGTAACCTAAATGAAAAGGCAGGGAATTTTTAAAATAAGACGGAGCACAAAATGTAAAATTAGATCTAAAAAAAAAAAAAAAGAGAGAAAAAAAAGACCAAAAAAAAAAAAAAAAAAATCACTTACGATTTGGGGTTATCTTACTAATTTAAGAAAAATACTATAAAAAATAAAATAGAAAAATAATATAAAAGGGGACTAACTTTTTTAATGATCACTCAACAACTTCAGGTTAATTTATGTTAAAAAATTAAACCTAACACTTTACAAAAGTGAAAAACAAGCCCATGATGTACCCCACAGCACTGGACCATGAAGAGTCAAGGATGCAGACGAAGTCCTTGGTGTTGAGTCTTTAGCGTAAATGTTAAGGTGTCAGAGAAAGTTATTAGCCGGCCTTATTTAATAGTGGAAGATGTCTTGAAGTTCTAACAGAAATGAAGTTGCACATCCTGATGGACAATAAACTAACTGAATATAAACTAATGTAATAGGCCGAGCTTTTCCAATATCAATCATACTCATCCTGAAAGGAGTGTAAGAGCTTTAAGAGATCCCCTGCCACAAAAATGTCTTTTAGAAAACTACAATCATCTCACCTCCCTGAAGAGAAACCCTAAAAGACTGAACATTTTCAAACTGCCAAGTCTCAGAGCTCCTCGCTAATAAAAAAAAATAAGTGTATCTAATCTAATAACTATAACTAATCTTAAATAATAATAATTAATCTTATAACTAATCTAAGATTAGTCATAAGGAATCACTTACAATCAGGTTTTCTCCAACATAATACTTGTCTGAGATAATGCTGTTACTGCATTAATACATTAATTTAACCCAAAGCTTTTTGAGACATCTCTAGCAGGATGCCAACAACTGTGGATGATGGTGCACACGTCCTAAGCAAAGACCTACTCTCAATTGGTTCCCCATTAATGAACCAGCTTATCGTCGGTCGAGGAGCCCCGTCAGAGCGACACACCAGCTGTCCGTTTTCCTCAGGAGCCAAAATCAAATCTGTGGGCTTTTCCAACCAGAAAGGAGCCGCTGTTTAACAAAGAGTTAATTAGCTGTTACATAAATGTACTACAGCTCAATACTATACTACTCCTGTATAGTTTTGAATGTCTCACCTTTGACCCTGACCGTTATTGTGTGCTCAATATACCCGATATTGTTGGTAGCTGCACATATGTATTCTCCAGCATCTTCAAAAGACGCCTTTTGAATTTGAATCATTTTGTTGAAGTTTTTCAGTTTTATGCGTGATGTCACAGGGAGATCCTCTCCATTCTTAGTCCAGGTTATGTGAGGAGTAGGCCTTAATGATAAAAGTTGAAAAAAAGTTTGTTAACTTTAACAAAATAGGACACTTTATAGGCTTTTGTGTTGCTTAAATGAAAAAAAAGTTTAAGAAGCACTATATCAAAGGTCTAGAGTTTGTGAACTCGTGCTTACACCCCTGCGGCTATGCACTCGAGAAGCAGCTCTTCTCCTTGTAGAACAAGAATGGAGCTGGATGAACCTCTGGGAGACAGCCAAGTGGGAGCAGCCTCAGCTACTGTGCGAGCTGCATTGAAAACCATTCAGAGGACGTCAGCAGACACATGTCAGTCATTCAAAAACCTGATCTTTCCATTAAGCAAAAATCATTATGCCAGTTTTCTGTAAATATGATGTAGATATTTCTTGAATATAGATTATCATCAAATTAGCCTAAGTGCTAATATTTTTGCTTAAGAAGGCCAGTAATTTGAAAGCAAAAGTCACATTAATGCACCAGTTTGCTAAGACTTCAAAGTCAGTTCGAAATGAAAATGAAGGGACTCACTTGTAAGCACCTTAACAACCACAGGCATCTTTTGCTGAATCATATTCTTATAAGGAAATCGAGCATTACAGCAGTAATCAGCAGTGGAGTCATTAACCAGCACATTAGAGAAATAAAGATCTCCGTTGACCCCCATGGAAACTCTGCGGTCCTGCTGCACAGCCTGCATGGTGGGAAAAGCTGTCTGAATGGGCCAGGTGAAAGGCCTTGCATACGAACCTTAACAAAATAAGCATTTCCAATTAATTACAATCAGGTACTTTTTAGATGTACAGTAAAACAATTACCACATTTACTGGAACTGAGGCCTGGAGAAGACGTGTAAAGTGTCATACTTTAGTCAGCTTTATCTCATGTTGAAAACAAAATATTTAAAGCGAAAGAGTCTGCATATTTGCCAAGAACATTCTTAATTATTGAGTCATTCATTTTATGTTTTATAGGTCAATTCTTTTTTTAATATATTCTCAGCAACAAAACAGGATAGTTTCTGTATAATATGCTAATCATATTTAGCTTGTAAGCTAAGGAAAGTGCCAAAATCTGCTTCTGAATAAGACTCATTATTTCTACCATGAAATTAAAAGGAAAGCACCTATTAAAGTAAACAGGTTTTGGTGTACAATACAAGTTTAAATTGAGGTTGGAATGTCCTGTTCCATTTTAAGACGCTTTAATTTGCCTGCATCCATTTTCACATCCATTATAGCAGCAAAAATCCTGTTGGACCACATTTGTACCATTCTTCAACTGTTATCCGTTGTTGACGAAAATCGTTTTAAAGATCACGAATGGCCCTTGGGCCATACTTTGAAAATCCCTGCTCCGAATGCAGACTCATAGCTCGTGCCTTTTAATTTATTTTCCTCGGGCATTTTCTAAGGGTGTGTTTTACATTGTATGTTACTGTATATTTAATCCAAATGTTTGTTTTGCTTCATTGGACACTTACAGCTAGACATCCAGTATGTTTCAGGTTTAGGTGGGCCTGGTGGAGGGTCACAAGGCAGGACCAGAGGAAGGCCTGCACTGATTACAACAGGCTCTAGTATCTCCCGTGGCCATACAGGAGGTCCTGGACAATCACAAAGAAGCATTAGCAAACATTTAAATGACCTGTTCAAAATAAAGTGACTTCTGTGCCCCTTTGCTTCCTTTTTTAATTAAAAAAAAAGAGAATCATTTCTTTTGACTTGAGACTACTAGAATCCTTTTGTGTTGGCTTTGGTATTGTAACAACAACTACATATCTATAAATATATATGTATATATATGTATATATATATATATATATATATATATATATATATATATATATATATATATATATATATGGATTCCAAAGATATTTAAATAAAGTTATGTCCCAGGTGAACAGCATCAGAGTTCCTGTAGGTCCCTTAACTTTTCCTTAACTGTAGAACACAGTTCCATATTTCCATTTAAAGACTTACTGTATAACTGTAGTCTTATCTTGTGGGTGTATGCAGATCCATATTGATTGGAAGCAATGCACTGATACTCTGCAATATACTGTTCAGGATTGTTTCGGGCATAGATGTCAAGTGTCCCAGAGCGCCTGCGCATTGACACCTGGGGGTCACGGGCCACATTAAAATACTTCCCATTACGCCGCCATGAGAAACTTCAAGTTAAAGGAAAAGACAGGAGAAAATTAATAGAGTGGAGGGCTGATTAGGTTATTTGCTCTGTAGCTGCAAATCTCACATAGGATGAGGGTTGCCTTTGGCTTCACACTCTATGACCATTGTGTCTTTGGGATCCACAATGTGCTCCTGCAATGACTGCTTTATGATGGTTGGAGGTTGCCTGACTGAAAGGATGAGAGATAAAATTAGCTTGGAATTTCTACAAAAAACAACACACACAAAAAATTCATACCCTTTAAACTATGTTCTTATTTTGTGAATTAATAGCCACAAACCAATAAAAGTAGTAGCCTACTTCTACATTGCTGAAGGTAAATCCCCCCTGCCCCATCACTGTAAAGTTACATAAATAGTAAATAAAGGGCACTGTTGTACTAATATAAGCACATATAAAATTATTCTAAGTCAGAGCTATGATAAAAAAATTTTTTACCCATATCCACTTGCATAACTGGTTCAGTCAATGTCCAGACTTGTAAAAAAAGCCTCACCTCTAGACTTGCGTGCAACATCTGTGACCTGAAAGACCTGAAAATCTATTTTAATAAATGAGCAGGAAAAAAAAAAATATTGCTGTCCACAGCTGTTACAGACATAGCCCAAAATACCTGTAGCTGTGATCACAGGGAAAAAGGTTCTATCGAGTATTGACTTTACTCCTCAACAAAATGCAATACTTTGTATTTGTCTGTCTCATGAAATATTAATATGATACATTTAGATTTGTGATTATAGTGAAAGGCTCAGGCTGAAATTAAAAACACATAAGAAGAAAAGGGAGATCTGAGTTTACTGACTCACTTTCAAGAGGAACATCCAAAGTCCAAACACTCTGCCACAGTAATAACAGCAGCCCTGGTCCAGCCAGTGTCTTCATTCTTACAGTTCATTTAGTCCAGTAAGGGTTTGATTCCTCCAGTTCAAATGTTCTGAAATTATTACAGAATAAAACAAGCAAAAATACATATAATGCAATTTTATAATTTCTATTAAGAAAACTTAATAAAGGTTTTACAAATAAATAGTCCAATAATAAACAATCAAGCTTTAAATAAACTTCCCACAGAGAATATGTTTGAAAGATGTACAAAGCTGTACTATGAAAATAAAGAGACGCATTAAAAATGGCCTTTATTAACAATTTCATTGCAGATTTTAGCGTTTTGCTTTCGCTGATAATGAATTACTTTTAACTTGTAATTCATGGAATGTTTCTCTGGATAGAAAAGAGCTCATTCTTTGATAGCTTTAAAAATTTTGATTTTAGTTCATTGCTCCAGTAACAGTTACAGAGATGGTAAAAAATTTAAATGCAACGTTTACCCTAAACTTTTATGAAAGCGGATTAACCAAGAAATAACTATAAACAGTTTTTTTTTTTTACATTATAATGTCAGGTATATAACTACCACAATAGATATTTCATATTGGTTGTGAAAGTCATGGTGGATTTAAGGTACTGTCTAAACAAAGTGCATTTCTCGTTTTTATAAAAAAGGAAACACTGATTTAAATGCATAACCTCTACATGACTCTTTAAAATGAACTCTGGCACAGAACAATTCATGAGAAGATTAATCTTTCAGATAAAAGGATCCAATTAGATACATTTTTTAATGAATATGCAAATAACCTGTATTAGCTAAATTGGTTGAGAAGTTACGTAAACCTACCTTTCGCCCGTAAACACCTCTCTCTCCACACGTCACTGTTCTCATCCAAGCATAAATAATTCAATGAATTTTCCTCACAAAATGATTCTTCTTTATGCACTACAGTATACTTAGCAATTAATGCCCAAGTCCTTCAAATATCTGGTCAAGAACCCTGGAACCAGTAGATACACATCAGTAATTGAGTTTCTGTCCATCATTGCCACTTGCGCTCTGCCCACCCATCTCATGAATAATGAAAGAGCTCAATTCAACTCCTACATCTCACCCACTCTATCGTCAGGCTCTCGAAAGTTCCCAGCATCTTCATTAAATACAGAAACAGATTTATATAAACTTTCTTAAAGTGAAAATGAAAACTGTCTTCCTCAGCAGCTGGTAAAATATTGTCGTTTTTTTTCTTCCATTTTCTGCTTTTCTAGAAGTAACAGTTTCAAATACAACCTTTAGTTCAATGAAATCACAAACATATCTCAGCCCTGCACTGTTTGTTGTCTTGATGGTCCCGAAAACGTCAGAATGTGGGCTGAAGAAATGCGCTGCAGATTATGAATGAATAGTTTGTTTCTCTCACATGAATTTTTACATCACTAGAGTCACATGACATCCTGGACATAAACCCCACAAGAATGATTATCAGAATTTATACAATTTACCTAAAGGAATGCAGGGCAATCCAAGAGAAAACGCTGCAATATAAACATTGCAACTTTAAATCTATATAATTAAAACTTAACTTGTAATAAACATTTTTTTTTCGACCAAGAAATGATTTAGCTATTGAATAGTGTCCAGATACTCCAACCTTTGGAGATAAATAAGCAATGCTTTTCACAGTCTTGATATTCTTGCTCTGTATCAGTTACCTCCAGAATTTGTTTTTAATTTTTATTTCATATTATATATATTTAGCACTTTGAGATTTGAAGTCAAATGTAAAGTGCGTTACAAATAAAATTCATTATTATTATTATTATTATTATTATTATTATTATTATCATATATTTTTCTAATGGTAAAGACAATTTATTCCCAGAAAGGTGGCAGACTGTCATCTCTCAGCAATTCCATGAGATGAATGGATTCTTGTGTGCTACTGCTTGGTTGGAAAGAAAGCCAGACGCCAAATGGCTTTTTCTGGAACCAGTTTGACTCCACCTGAGCTGTGTGGGCCTGCAGAAATAAATAGTGTTGTTCATAAAGAACACCAGGGGCTGAATTGTCCTTTCCATCTCCTACATCTAAACATCTGAAACATTTCATCAGGTGTTTCACATTGAACAGGAAAGAAGATATAGCTACAATGAGTTCCTTGACTCTCAGAATGAGCTTTTCTGGACTATGGCATGTCTGTAAGTGAGCAGGGATTGGTGCCATGCACCAGATTGCACAGTGAAGAGGCACAGGGGCATGTAGGACCAGCTCAGTGACGACAAAAGGGTCTCTATGCCTGTGGGTCTCCTCGGGCACTCGTGCAGAGCAGATGGCATTTGAGAGGGGGTGTTAAACCAAACAGGCTTTCTGTTCAGACTCAGCGCTGCTATCACTGACACTTTGACGTCACATGATTGCATGAAGAAAAAGGAGGAAAAAAAAACCCTACTGCAAAAAAATGCTGCAATATGACATCATTACAGCAGTGCATCAGGAACATGATTGTCTCAGAATCAGCAGTGCCTTCCAGGACAGATTGGCTTGTGGCAGGGTAATTGCAACAGCTAGATTTTTTTTAACTAGTTTATGACTCAATCCTTAAGCCTATGTAAAAGCTATATAAAAAACAAAGGCAATAGATGCCAAAGTGTGAATAAATTAGTCTCTGTAGTATTTAGTATATTATCTAATATTCTGATTAAGTACTTTTTGCCCAGTTTAAATTTACAAAATTGTCTTGGCTTATAAAGGCTTTCTTATGCATTTGCACCATCTTTAATGTGTATGTTACTATAGGACCACTCTAGGAAGCACCATCCATACTATTATCACAATTGCACATCCTTATCCAGAACTACATCTGGATCGCCACTGAAGCTTTGGGAACAGTACCAAGTGGCCATAATTATCATCTTATCCCCAATATTAATGGCGAATCAAACTACCATGAACCAAAAGTCATAACAACTTTGCTGACAGAAAGGATGCCTTTGCATACTTTCTGTTGAATCACTTGTCACTTGACTGTAGCTTTGCAAATGCTTAAAGCAATCCAGTGAAATATGTTTGCACCATTTTTATCTGAATTTTTGTTATCTCGTCCTCTATGTTTTAAACTCTTTACATAGGTGCATTCCATTCAAATATAAAACTAAACAATACATGGTCGTGAGAGAACATTACAAATTCGACTTCTAGGAAAGACTGGTTTGTGGCAGGGAAGCTGTAACAGTTTGAAAGTTTGAAACCAGTTTATGACCCAATCAAATCCAAAACAGCTTTATTTATAAAGCACTTTAAAAAAACCACATGAATTTAAAACATTAAACAAAAATCAGCAAAACAGTCATTTACATAAAAACAGATAAAACTCTCTTAAAATATGCAGTAATATGAAACTCATTCTTAGCAAACTGATTAAAGTGAAAGGGAATAAAAGCTTTAATAAGGGTTTAAAAAAAATATGATGAAGAGACCATGGAGAGGCAATTTGTTCAACAGTTTAGGAAATTCTACTTTAAACTCTTGATCCTTTTGAGCTTAAGTCTTGTTTTCGTTATATCCCAGAGGAGTATTTAGCTGCTGGGTAGGTTTGTAAGGAAGTAGTAAAAAGGTTCAAAGATGTTAAGGCAAATAGAAGTTTTAGAATGTAAAATGGACAGACAAGCATCCTGATGATAAAGCAGGGCAAATGTGACAGTGTTTTGGATGGTCTAACAGTTGTCCAGTAGAATTTTGGATCCTTTGGTGCAGGTAAGTAGAGGAACTACTTACCAGTACATTACAGTAATCCATCTGGTGGACAAAGACGTGAATCACTGTCTCAAAGCCAATTTCAAACAAATGTCAGTTAAACCGAAGGAGTCCCATTTGACTCTGGAATACATTGGTATGAATACCACCTATTGAATCCCAGCTACCCATGGTAGATATTTAGCTAAAGATCTTTTGATTTGCTTGGTGGGTGTGACCAGGCATAACTGCTTATTGTGGCCAAGAATTTCCACCTTGCTTTGGTCTCATTTGATGATAGAATGTACTTCAGGAAGCCTTATGGTCGGTTCAGATGTGGTTTTACCAATGTAAGTCTATTTCTTTGGCACAGTGCAATTTGAATTAATAGTAATAGCTCTTAGTCTAGACTGGCTCAGTCTTGTTCTAATTAGGATGTTATTAAAAAATATAATTATAAAATAAACAGACAAAAAAGAGATGGGTTACAACAACAGTTTAATTTCCCTTTGGGATTAATAAAGTACTTTAAATGGAAATTAATTAAGTTAAGTCCTAAACAATACAGAAGGGGTAGTTCTTAAGTCTTATTTATATTGCATTTTTTAATGATGAGGGTAATAAAGAGTGATGTTGACTCCTGAGAAAAAAACTATACGTATGTTCACTTTTTAAATATACATTACCACGGCGGAAGAGTGGGCTTTGAAAAAAGAACCTATGACCTAGGCGGATTTATGGACAACGATAGTAGCTTTTCTAAAGGCATTTCAGTCTCATTGCTTTATCTGCTCTACTTGGCATTTTGTAAAAAAAAAAAAAACACAATTAGTATGTATGTTGTGGTTGTAACATGTAAAAAGTTTCTAATTTCCACTTATGAATCATGAACAAAAACAGTTTTCAAGGATCTTCCAGGGAGAAATTGTGGTAATTCTACATTAGAAGGTCCTACCTTTTATCAGTTTGTCTCTGTGTACACTTAATGCACCGAGGTCCAATCTCTTCCTCTTCTTATCTTCAGACTGTTTTTTTTTACCGTTTCTCCAAGCTGATGTTCATCTGTTTTCACTCCATCTTCTCAAAGCAGATGACAAAACAGAAGCCACTGCACACTGTTGGGAGGACTTCTTCTCTCCTGTGACACAGGCCAGGTAAACACAGCCTGAGAGACTATGATAATAAATCCATTGTGAAATCCATTCTCAATATGAAACCATTTTCACTTCATCAGAAACATAAAGCTAAATAGAACTTCCAATGTGTGTTAAAGTTAATCAAATGTGGTTCCCTTATGTTTACTGTTTCTGTCTTAAGTCCTACTGGACTGTGTTGGACTTTGTAGCTTCCCTCTGGCTGTCACGAGCTCACACTCTCTCATACAAAGACTTCTGTTTAAAACACAGTCAGATTGTTGTGGAAAGGGAAAGCACAGCTTCCAGACACACATGGGTGCATTTAACCCCTCATGTTAGGGTAAAAAATGAAGGTCTTGTTGTATTGCAGGCATCTTGAAAAATCTAATGAGGAATTGAAAGTAACCCATAATCCCAAATCCAAGCAATTGTTAATTGCATGTAATTTAATAACTAACCATAGAATAAAGTTAATAGTTAAAGAAAATGGATGGATGGATGGATGGATGGATGGATGGATGGATGGATGGATGGATGGATGGATGGATGGATGGATGGATGGATGGAAAGGCACTATATAATAAAGAACAATGATGGCCTGAAAACAAATTGGGGTTTTTTAACACAATACCTCTAGTGAAAAAATTAAATACTACTTAGACATTCCTCATCGATACATACATTTATTCAAAATAAATACTATGTAAGCCCTTCAAACAAATTTAAAATACATTTTACATATATTGGACAAATTTAAATGTTCCTTTATGGAACAAACCCTAATAACTAAAGAAATATGATGATGTGTAAATTATTGCTTTTTTGTCCCACTTCATCCTATTAAATTGTTTGGCACTTCTGTTTAAAAGCAAAAAAAAGGACAACAAAGATAATAGTAGGTGGTCATTGTTTTTCTTTGATCATTTTTCTAAACCAAGAAAGATTTAAGAAGCAAATGATGTGAATCACTTTGCTAAGATAATTGTGTTAATGTGCAAAAAATATAAAATGTAGAGGATGTGTGGATTTGCTTCACACCACTAAACACAAAATAAAATGCAGACAAGCTGAAGCACCCCAAATCACATCAGCCCCTGCTTTATCTCCCAAGCCCTCTCACTCATCCAGTCTTTGGCTTGGCCCACAGTGGAACGCTCTTTGCCCAGAACTGAACAGAGCTTAGCCACTTTAGGCTGATTTCTATCCAGGTAGTCCTGCGTATCTTTGACTAGCTGATCCAGCGTCTCTGGGCGATTCTCATCTAAGGAAACCTGCGCATTTAGCATGGGGTTGAAGCGGAAGTAGACATCTGGTGGAAGCAATTCATCCAGGAGAGTGTGGACCCCTTCTGTGTCCGTGGCGCTGGTGATCAGGTTGTTGATTTTGGTTCGCAGACTTGTGGAGGTAGTAGGGCCCCTCTTGACCCTGTCAAAGCGCCCCGTGCCAAGGGACAGCACACACTTAAAGGGTTGGTTGGGCCACAACAAACGGCTCTCGTGAATAGACAAGGCACAGGGATTGTTCAGGATGATTCCTCCATCCTACAGTGACAGAGGATGCAATGGTTTCACTTAGTGAAGCAGATTTAAATCCACACATATGCTTTACAGTTCATAGGAACCCAAGAAGTCAATCAAGCATTCATGCTCAAATTTTACCATAATCAGTGAAAAGGTATTAAAGGTAAGCATGTATGTCACTGCTTGCTAAGGAATTAAAGCAAAACAAAGTAATTTATGAGTGGTCTTAGGGGCAGGATAGATTCCTAAATACTACATGAAGAAATTAAATTGTACAACCTGGTGGATGTCACTTTGTAAAGGGAACTCCTCAAAGTATCCAGGTGCAGCTGAAGATGCACGCACTGCCTGCCACATGGCATGGCTTGATTCCCCTGCATAGCGGCTGAGGCATCCTGGTTTGTGGTTGTAGTTGCGAAATACAAAAGCCTTGGGGCCTGTACCCCAGTTAACCACTGCACTAACAGCTGAAACCTAAGAAGACAAATGCTTTGTTGTAAATTAAAAAATTGTCCAGTTTTACCTATAATATTGCTTCTGAGAGAAATTTTTTTTTAAACAAAAATCACATTTCTTACCTTTGGACTGAACTCGTATCTAGATGTTTTAATTAACGGCTTATAACCTAACGTCTCCCTGGTTCACATAAAACAGGAAGATTGTGAAGGTTAAGACTGAGATGACATTGTAAACTATTGTGCATTTCATTGTAATGTAAATATAAATATGATTGCATACTTTAGTATTTTCTCCCAGGTTGCAGTGTCATAGTAGGAGTGACTTAAACCCATCTTCACAGTGCCAACCAGGGGGTTCTGCCTGAAGACCTCAGATCCAAATCGACGATACATATGAGTACACTCCTCCAGAGAAAAACGGGCCAACCCCAACATGAAAGCTAAGATGGCTCCTATTAGTATGAAGAAGCACTTACTTAGAATATTTATACATTTATCATACAGACAGACAGACAGACAGACAGACAGACAGAGATAGATAGATAGATTGATAGATAGATAGATAGATAGATAGATAGATAGATAGATAGATAGATAGATAGATAGATAGATAGATAGATAGATAGATAGATAGATAGATAGATAGATAGATAGATAGATAGATAGATAGATAGATAGATAGATAGATAGATAGATAGATAGATAGATAGATAGATAGATAGATAGATAGATAGATAGATAGATAGATAGATAGATAGATAGATAGATAGATAGATAGATAGATAGATAGATAGATAGATAGATAGATAGATAGATAGATAGATAGATAGATAGATAGAGGACTAATCTAAGGTTTACCTTTTTTTCTTTTACTTGTGCTTCCAAAAAAGTAAAAAAGCTTTGGGAAGCTTTTTCAATTCAAAATGTCAGAGTTAACTTTATATAGTAGCCCAAAAACTTGTTGTGGCTTAGGAAAAATGCAAATTGAACCAGAAGATCAGGTTCGCCCCTTGGGAATGGGGAGTCATTTTGGGTTCTTTGTTGGCCTGCAATACCCGATACTGGGTTATACCTCTGAAAGGGGGGTCGTTAGGGGCAATCGTTCACTTGGCTGCCCAGGCGAGATGTTTTGTCCCCTGCATGGGGGTGGGGGGTTGAAATAATATAGCTGCATTGTATGTTCTGTTTAAGGTTGTTTTTTCTTTCTTAACATAAATGGCTTCGTTTACACCTCTTTCAATCAACTGTCTTCTTTGTCTAAAATGTGACCATTCTGGTCCTCAAATGAGTGTCCCTTGGCCTTAAGGTACAGGAGAAGAGCAGAGTCCTGTCCGAAGGAGGTAGCTCTTCTGTGTTGAGCCATGTGTCTGTAGAGAGGCTGCTTGGTTTCTCCAATATAAAGATCAGAGCATTCCTCACTGCATTGAACTGCATACACCACTCCACTCATATTTGGTCTGGGGGTTTTGTTTTTAGGATACACTAGTCTCTGTTTAAGGGTCATGTGGTTTGAAACGTCATGGGATTTTGCATTTGGAGAAAGCCTCCTGAGTTTCTCAGAGACTCCAGCAATGTTTTTGCGCTTAATTTTCTCACCGTTATGTTATGCTGCGTGTCTTTTGGATTTCCTTGCTGATTTGACAAACGCCCATTTTGGGTAAGAGCATCTTTAATGTGTTTCTGTTCTTTGTGCTTCCCTTCAGTTTTTGTAGGGACATGCTCAGCCCGGTTGTTGTAAGGGCCAAGCATGTCCCTAGTAAAACAAGAAATACATAAGAAAACAAATACATCCAGGAAACACCACAAAGTGAGAATTAAACCAATAAAGGTATAAAACACAGAAAAAACATCAATCAAAGCTTATTCTCAGTCAGCCAGACCAACAATGCCCCTAGCGACCCCCCTTTCAAAGGCATAGACAAGTATTGGGTATAACAGGCTAACAAAGAACCCAAATCGACCCCCCCCTTTCCTAAGGGGCGGACATGTTCTTCTGATTCAATTTGCATGTTTTCTAAGCCAAAACAAGTTTTTGGGCTACTATATCAAGCTTCAATCTCAACGCTAATTCTGACATTTTGAATTGAAGAAGCTTCCTGGATGGGAAGTGAAACGACTTCAAACTTGGGAACCAAGTCCAGATGATTGTTTTTCTTTTACTTTTTGGAATGACTACGACCTGGATGACTGAGAATCTTCACCAGCATATTTACCTGTGCTCACTCCGCAGATGTAGTCAAACAGCTGGTGGATCTTTTTTCCAGTATCATCTTCTATTAGCTTTAGTAACTGCAGGGGGACCACACCTCTGAAGAACGAAATAACATGAATATTTACATAAACTTTTTTACAAGGAGATTTTTCCATATATCTGAATAATATAACATATTGTGAACTTGATTTTACATTTTTGTGCTGTTATAACCATGTATTTCTGTTTAGTTTATTGTCAGCTTAGTTGATAGACCAACAATAGGCAGTACAGAGTCTTCTATGTCAGTGTCCCTCATATGCCTTCTTAGAAACTGACACAAAACTTATATGGGTGAGTAGAACATGAAGCAATAACGTATAATCAATGGCTCAATGTAAAAAAAACGGCGCTCCTCCGAAGGGATATAAAGGAGCAAATAAAGTTAGTTACAGTAAAAGCTGAACCTATAGCTATGTCTAGAAGAGAAACAGGACTAAGAATTGAAAACAGGCCAAACTTTATAATTGATAATAGAAATTCAAGGCATCAGCTGGGCTGCTGCCTCTTTCAAGGAGCACCAGTTCAGAAGCATCGGCTACTATATGAAGTGAAAAAGGGGAGGGAACCTAAGGTAAGACGTTTAACTCAAAAAATAATGCCAAACTTGAAAGAACAATAAGACAGAATGTTGAGAATTGTTCCCATATATTTAAAATGTACATTTTCTATGCTCTTAGTTAACATTTAGATTGGGTGACCTGTTGGATGTCATCAAGGATCCAGTCCCCCTTTTTTAAGAACTAGGCCACCTCTGGCTACCTTCAGGATATTGTTTGTCAGTACTTTGCCTGCACTGAATCTTTACTGTCTATAAGAATGTGAGATGTGAAGTATATGCACCCTCAGCCAGGTCACACTACCCCTCATAAGATTTGCCCTCTATGTAATGCTCTCACAGGCCGAGGAAGGACACAGCTTTGATCTCTATCTCTCTGTCCTGATTCTAACAAGAATTTATTTTAAAAGTGTGACAATGACTGTCTTCAGCAGCTCTCTTTGTTAACTGGATTCACTCAAGTGAATATTTAACTTTTCCATTTACAGGTCTCCAGCAGCCTAAGCCTACAACAGCATAACTGTAAGCTTCCATCCATCTTCTTCTGCTTATCTGGGGTCGGGTTGTGGGGGTAACAGCTTCAGTAGGGAGGCCCAGACGTCCCTCTCCCCAGCCACTTGGGCCAGCTCCTCCGGGGTAATCCCAGGGCGCTCCCAGGCCAGCCGTGAAACATAGTCCCTCTAGCATGTCCTTGGCCTCCTCCTGGGCCTCCTCCCGGTGGGAGGTGCCTGGAGGTATCCTAATCAGATCCCCGAGCCACCTCAACTGGCTCCTCTTGATGTGAAAGAGCAGTGGCTGTACTCTGAGTCCTCCTCGGATGACCGATACTGTAAGCTTGACAGTGAGAATAGTTTTAAGCCTAGTCTTAAGAGTTTACTGTGTGTCTGCCTCAGGACTAAAGCCGAGCAAAGGATTGTGGGCAACCATTTAACAGCGGCAGATAGGGACATCAGGAGGTCCCTATGCTATTTAAATTAGGGCAGCCACTATTGCCACTATGCCAATGCTAAACCTAAACATTTACCTTACCAGTTCAGAGAAAAGGCGGCAGCCTCCATGTACCTTCTGAGCTGCTTTGCTACCCTACAGGAACACTTAAAAGTTTGACTGATGTTCCCCGTCATTTTTCTTATTATTTTTGAAGAAGCCATTTCTAAGCTCTATCATCGACATACAAGGATCTGGTAATACTGCATAATACATATTTGCAGAAGTAAATATTTATATATTTTGGACCTGTCAAAATTTATAAAAAAATATTTGCATGCTCTAGTTTTCATCAATAAAGATTATACTTTAATTCTGTACTACTCTACAGTAGATGCCCCTTGGATGTATGATTTTGTTGTAGCTTTAAAGGAATAGTACACCCAAAACATGATTAGCCTTCATTTTCTACTCACCCCCATGCTGAACAACACTCTGGAGTACTTTTTTGATATCTCAAATGCATCTGGAGATCTGGGAGGCTTCTTGCTGTCTGCTGACATTCAAATAATGGAAGTCTATGGTGACCGAGACAGAAAGGTCCATAAAAGTCCACAAAAAACGTGTCAATATTCTTCCATACTGCTCGTCCAATGTATTCCAAGTGTCCTGAGTGGGTAGCATCCAGAATTTACTCGAAACGAAGTCATTTAGAATGTTTTTAGAGCATAAACAGTAGTGTATAGGATTTCCTGAAAGCGCGCACATTCGCGCTCACGACGCTACGGAAGCCGGCAGACCAAATCAGCGCATTCAGCTCGGCAAAGAACTCATGCTCTTCCTCAACACTGAAGTCCTCAGACATTTTTCTTTCGTTGTTTCTTTCTTTGCACAGGTAAACAGCACATTTCTTCTTCTACGCTTGCATTATTGGCAGAGCAGACGCTGAATGCGCACTTTCATCTGGTTTGGTCTGCCGGTTTCCGTAGCGTCGTGATCGCGCAGGTGCGCGCTTTCAGGAAATCCTATACACTACTGTTTATGCTCTAAAAACATTCTAAATGACTTCCTTTCGAGTAAATTCTGGATGCTACCCACTCAGGACACTTGGAATACATTGGACGAGCAGTATGGAGGAATATTGACACGTTTTTTGTGGACTTTTATGGACCTTTCTGTCTCGGTCACCATAGACCTCCATTATTTGAATGTCAGCAGACAGCAAGAAGCCTCCCAGATCTCCAGATGCATTTGAGATATCAAAAAAGTACTCCAGAGTGTTGTTCAGCATGGGGGTGAGTAGAAAATGAAGGCTAATCATGTTTTGGGTGTACTATTCCTTTAAGCTTTATTGCAATTTGCTGGCCTCCATGAACGAACAGTGCATTACCAAAAATTGCATACTGACATCATTAAAAAGCACGTATTGGTTTAAAATAGATATCTAAGGAATATTGGTCATAGCATTATTACTTAACTGATTACTTAATTTTTTGCTCAGAATTCATTTTTTTAATTTATCGGAGATATACACACCTTAAAATTAACTTTTTTTGCGAAATGTAATGATCTTTTTTTTTATTTTTTATCAAATTATCTCCAAGATTAAATGAAAACAGCCCGTCTACAGAAATCCTTTTATAAACGGGGTTTCACAACATTGTGCACTTCAATGTAAACAAAGTAGTTTCTTGTCTACTGTGTACCAAACAAATTTTGTACCATAAGGTATTAACAGTAAGGTTTCCGGTAGTTTCTCACCTGGTACCCCCACCGTCAATGGAGAGAATTCTGACACCACAGCCTTTAACTGGATCCATATAACCAATCAGAGCCAAGGTCTCTCTTAAAGCGTCCTGAAGTTCCTGATCATTTTTATAAGTTCTCCGTAGTCTCAGCAAGCTGACTACAGTTTTCTCCTAGAGGAAAAAGCAAAACACATATTGGAGATCTTTTAAATCATTTGTAAACTTTATATTATCAGAAAAATTAAAAATAAAATAAAATAAAAAACAAGACCTTCCAGATTAATGCCTTGCTTGATGGGAAGTAGATAAGATGTTCATTGAGTAAATCTATGCAGGCACTCAGAGCTTCTGGATTAGCAGCTTCTCCCAGTCTGGTTAACAACCTAAATGTGGTCTCCTCTGCCTGTCTCTGGGTCAAAACAAGCTGAAATCATACAACCAAAAAAATTGCAGCACTTTAGTAATTCTATCAACTCCATAAGGTAGAACACCAATAATGAGCTATTCACATGTGTATGTTTTCCACATTTTATGGTAAAAAAAACAACAAAAAAACAAATTTCAATGTATATATGGAATTTATGTGAAAGACCAGTACAGGGTACTGCCTAGTGATGCAATAAGACAAAATAAAATACAGTATTCAAATGATTTTAAGAAATAAACAGTTGAGAATGCTAGATGCATTTGAATTAAGCCTGCTAAGTTTGCATGGCTACTAGCTGTTTGCATTTTAATGTAGTAACACTATTTCTCCTAGCTTCACACATCCAAATCTGAACACCTTAATTATAAAAAAGTATTGCTGGATTGAATGGCTTCTGTGACAAACATTTTTTAAGTCTTGCTACAGATTTTTAAGTGGATTCCATTTGCACTTTGGGTTGCTTTAACACATGATTAACCTGGGTGTCACTAAACTTTTGCTCCAAATCTCAACAGCCTCTAAGTTTCTAATAGCTTTGAATATTAAGCATTCCCACAGCCTAATGCTGTCACTGCGTTTGTTGGACAGTCATGTTGATGTTTACAAGCAGTGTTTGTTTTTCAGCCCAGAAATGGTCTTGCATGTAACTCAGAAATTACAAATTTGGTGCAATATAACGGAACCACAATTTTTCATATGAGAAATTTTTTTGAACACTTGTTGCATTGAACAATTCTCCCACCAGGACTCCAGCTCTCTACAGCATCTCTAGAGTTACACTGGGTCTCTTTGCTGCTTTTCTTATCAATGCTATCTATTACTTTTAGTATCTTGGCTGGTTTTCAGTTTTGTCACATTTTTAAATCATAGATTTCATTTAAGCAATATTTGTTCAAAGGTTGAGGAATTGTTTTACAACCTAAACATGCTTTTGAATTCTCCACACTAACCTACCAAACTTGATCTTTATGTTACTGTTTGTTCTCCAAAAAATCTCTAAGGAATTAAATATTTAAAAAAAGACATTAAAAATATATCTAAAAAATTCACCAAATTCATAATAATGAGCTACATTGTATTGGTCAATTACAAAAATGGACAATGATATAGATAGTGCTAATCATGTATGGGTACTTTTATGTAAATGCATTAAGTCAACTTACCTTGTTATTTAGTATTGGCTCAGGTGAGGTCACAGCAGGTTTCGAATCAGTGCCCCTTGACAAAGGGCCTAGGTTCATAAAGGTACCAAGGATACCTGGAATAACACTAGTATGTTGGCGAAGGACATCCATGTAAGATGTTGACTTGGAAGGTGTTGGGTCCTTCTTTGTCGTGACATTTATATGATGGTCCTTCGGTCGACTTTGAGCTCTGAAATACTGATTTATATGACTTGATGTCTGAATATAGTTATCTTCCAAGTTAGAAGCACTTAAGCTGCTGTGAAAGAAGTTTGTATTTTCCCTTGCAGTGGGCTCTTCTTCCTTTATCTGGAACATGATACCACTGCCAGTTTCTGAAGTAGATTCTGGGAAGACATATTTCTTTTTTGATTTGTTCTTTTCTTCTAGAAGTTCTTTTTTACTGTAAGCTTCATCTGCAGATTTAGCCATAAAATATTTGTTAATGTGTCTTGCAATTTGATGATATGCTTCCTCCCAGCTGTTGAAAACGTTGTCATGCCCTACTGCTATCCTTTCATCATTAAGCTTGACTTCAGAGATTGCATCAGAATGTGTTTGTTTTTTTCTCCTTACCCTTCTGTTTGCTCCTCTAATGGTGGATAAGCCTTGAAAGATTTCCTGCTTGCTACGAGTGTAACTCTGAGAGAACACAGAGTTGATATGCTTCGCAACATAACTGTAACTCTCTCCAAAGGCTGTGGTCAAAGAGCTGATGTGAAATAACTGCAGTCCAGACTCTTCATTGATGGAGGTAACAGTCTCTGATTTCTCTTTGCATTTCAAAGACGGCACTTTGCAACTGCTTCCCTGTTCATTTTGATCTGCTTCTGACCATTGATTGAGTGTGCGCCTTTGTGATTGGTTATGATACTCAGGAACTGTAACAATAAAACTGGCATTTCCAGCAAACACACTGAGATTCCTCCTCTTAGGGTAAATGTTAACGTATCTGGATGGTACATTGAAGGATTGGCCAGGGTGATGATTCAGTGCAAGAACAGCAGAAATCCCAGCTGGAGGTTCACCTTTAAATAACTTATTATTAGATGAATCAAAAGGCAGACAATGCAAATATCTCACTTCTTTGGCATTTTCTTTAAAGAAGATTGAAGATGCAAAACGTTTAAGGAGCATTACCCTGCTATTTAATGTAGACAGCCTGTCTGAGTTTGGAAGAAGTGAAAGTCTAACCAGAGGTTGCACTTTTCTGAGACAGCTTATTTTATACATAATCCTGAATTATTTTAAAGCCTTTTCTATGACCCTTGAACATAAGGCAGGAATAAATGGATGATCCCTTCTTGATCTAATGTGGTATACAGCACCCAGACTTGCTGTGGATGCCTCTTGTCTGTAGCAACATGATCAACTGCAGCCTGGTGAGAATCCAAAAGACAATCTAAATTAACCCAACCGCTGAATCATTCATAGGCTAATGACAACTTTCTGTACAGTATATCTTGCACAGTTGCAAATATAAGGAAAATATCTTGCAAAACAAGAGAAAAAACAAAACACAGTGATTATTATTCTGGGAGGCCAAATCATTAAACGGTTTCTTGGTTCACAAAAATGTAACAAGAAATGTAATATCACATGCCCGTCCTTCACTACAAAAGAGAAAGAAAAGGAGAATGTTTTAACAAAAAAAAGCCAAAGGAAAAGACAGGTAAAAGAAAAGACAGGGAAAAAAAGAATAACATATTATAACTTAAATACAAGAATCAAAATTGTATTACTTCAGAATAACCTTATCTTACTTTTATGGCCACCCTCAAAGTGCAGTAGCACTTAGAATTTTCTTAATTACATTGACAAATTGCAGTACAAACTGGTTTTGCACATGTTCTCTACTGCTTTCAATCTAGATCATACAAAACAAGCCCACTAATTGAATATGCAATTCCTTTTTTTTTTGTTGACACAAACAAATTACTGCAACGTGTCTACCTGCCTGATCTTCAAAATTCCAAACCTGCACGTGTTTCCCTACACACAGACTTTTGAACAGCAGGCTAACAAAGATAAAAAACAATGGATGTCTCACTTTTAATATTTCAATCGGTTTAAAAACAATAAAAGATCTCATAATTGTGCTTTGATTTGGTGTTTGTCACATAGGAAAACAGATAACATATTGAAATATTCAACTGTAACAACTGAAATGTTAAGAAAAGAAAACAGCTGATGGTGTTGTAAGATTTTAGTAGAACAGCTTGTTAGATTACAGCCAAAGTCATAATGGTACTGGAAATAAAATAACTCCGATCTATCTAACAATCAGACAGATCCCCCCATTGAGCAAAATAATAGAAAAGAAAAATAGAAACACCTTCTTAGCCTGACCTTGCCTAAGCAACCTAAGCAATAGATCACTGCTTTGACGGCTCACTGTTTGACACCAAAATCACATTCAAAGAGGATCATAATCTAATCTAATTCTATTACATATTACACAAAGAAGCCATTGAAGTTTTCAGTTACTGTAAATCTGTAGCATATCGGCTCAGAGCAGACACTATCACTGTTATAAACAAACTGCAGCCTGCTTCTACAGTCAGCTGATCAGGGTACACATATCATGTTCCACTTCAGTTTGTGTCCTAGAACTGCATGATGGGAATGTATGCCAAGCCTCCAAATGGACTTGGTAGGTAATGACTGTCAATGCAGTTAGAAAGAAATCACAACTTTGACCTTGATTTTATGGATATCCTCTACATATAGTCACTTTGTGTTTTAAAAAATCAAACACCTTCTCCTGTTATATTCATAGACATGATTTAAAAGGAAATACCTTCAGCTTCACAGCAGGTTAGAAAAATATATTTACCTTAAAGAAATGATTGCTTTCACAACTCATCTTTGGGTTAGTTTCTGTACAAATAGCCTGAGTAAATGCCAGAAAGCAACTTCTAATGTTTACCTGTGTTACTTGCTTGCAGCACCTCTTCTGCGTTGAGTCGAGCTGGGCTTTATGTTACAGTAGTTTTGTTTGTGGACTGATGGGACTTTGGTCAAGTTCAGCAAATGGTCTCGAAGATCAGTCAAGCATAACGTTATGTGCCATCATTCCTGGTAGATCTAAAAGTAGAAAGAGGGTGTCTGTAAGCTGCTATGTTGGACGTCACACACATCACACTCACCTTCACACGGGGCTCACACCAGACATGTCCCTCAATCGAATAATCACTCTCTCTTTCTCTCTTTTTCAATGGGTACTGAGGGATTTTGAAATGTTTTTTTATTCCTAATGTTTGGCTTAGATTATAGCTGAAATCTTTCAATTGTTTTAGGATGTATTGATAAAATCAGGTTTCTTTGGTTTAGTTTTCTTTTGTCACAGAATTTAACAATTAGTCTGTTTCATTGGATATCAAAGGAGCTTCAGTAGCAAACTTTAGCCGACATGCATTAGTTCTGGTGCCTTTTTATATTCCTCTTGACCTTAAAGCCTAGAACACATCAGTGGATGTTAGTGTTGATCCACTAGTGTTAGCTTTTAGGTCACATGACTCTGATGACACCTAGTTTCAGAAGTACCTTAATGAAATGAAAGCAAAAGCTGTCGCCCTTTTTTATAAATATGACTGTGCTTACTGACTATTTAAGAATGTTTCTGTTTATGTCTTGTAAATCTTCCAAAAAATATTGTATGTGCATTTTCGCTTGTTAGTTTCATTGGTTGTGCATCTTCCACCACCTCATTTCCTTACGCTAAATTTTCCATACATATGCTTGATTTTAGCAAATGAAGAAATACTAAATGAATAAATGACTACTCTCTTTGAGAAGGGCAAAATGAGTTCTGATTGGTGCATGCTGTTAGAACATTTGTGTTAAAAAAGAAAAAAAGGTTTTTATTATTCTCTGCGTAATATATATATTTTTGATGATTGATTTTTACATTAGCTTTATGCCATAATAATAAAAATAAATATTCAGTGTATAATGAATAAGTACTAATGAATTATGTACCAAGATATACATCCAGCGAGAGGTACTTGTGCCTATCTCCAGCTGTCAACGGGCGAGAGGCGGGATACAACCTGGACAGGTCGCCAGTCCATCACATGGCAACACAGAAACAAACAGGACAAACAACCATTCACACATACACTCACACCTAAGGAGAATTTAGAGAAGTAATTAACCTAACAGTAATATCTTTGGACTGTTGAAGGTCAAAGTACCCGGAGAGAACTCCGTGAGGAAAGACCCTGGGCAACCTGGGAAACCTTACTGCACCCAGAACCTTCTTGCTGCAAGGTAGCAGTGCTACCAAGTGCTCCACCGTGCAGTGAAACACATTAAAATAAACTATTCAAACATCAGCTTTAATTATGCTTACATCTTCAAAATATTATTCGCATTCACATGTTTGACATCTCTTAATTAATAAGACATTATTTAAGTGCAAAAACTAAAATTCACCTGTTTTTCCCCCTTTTCTTCACAAATTTCAAGCCACTGTTTAACAGCATCACATTGTGTAATCTGTAGATGTACATGGAAGTAGCGTCTTACTTAAGACATACAGTAATGCTTGCATCTGCTCAAAAAATATATTTTAAAGGATTATTTAAAAACAAAATCAACTGCATTCTCTCCTCTGAGCAATACTTTAGACTTACAGTGACATCTAGTGGCAGCTTGTTGACAGTCCTCTTTATTTATCAACAGATACAAAAAAGCTTCAATCTGATCTGAGCATAACAGGAAATTGACTTTATTTTGCTTCAGTGACTTTAAGTCTTATCTGTGAACAACTCGTTTAACAAAAGAAGACAGGCATGAATGCAGAACTATTGTGGCTGTCTTTTATATGGCTTTATTGTCTGCTCTGCCATCTTTAGCTGCTTAAAGTTTTCTTGTTTGACTGTTTGTCATCTACCAGTCTGTGAGTCTAAGTACAAATGGATAGAAGACTTAACTCTTGATCAGTAAAATAGCAGGGATCCCAGTAAAATGGATCCAAACTTTAATCTGTTAGTGGTAAATGATTAAATATGGAAACATTTACTGTTTTGAAGTAGATCCGATCAGTATTGATAATAACAATAGCGTCTTTATAATAAGTAAATAATTTTTATTGTCTTTATTAACATGTTTACTCCCCCACCACCCATTTTTGCAGATATTTAGGTGTTTTTAAAACCTTTTTTTCTTAAACTGAATGAACAGCATCAACTCTGTACAACTCATATCATAATGGAAAAAAAACATCAAGTCTGTCTTTATAATACTTTTCTTTCACTACAGTAATTTTACCATGTGTCCCTTTGACACAATATATAACACAATAGCCATTAATTACAATATGAAAACCATTGCTTTTAATATGGTTTCTTAATATAAATATTTAATTCTGAAACGAGGTCAGGAATCAGCTGGTTTCTTTTTACAGCTTCCTGAGGGGCATTCCTCTGCCCTTCCAGTCCACTTAAGTCGATTCTTAGCAAAGACAGCATACGCCTTTTCCATAAATGGCCTCACTGGTGACCACATCATGAAGCGACCCAACCAACCAAGGCCAACGGCACCATACATGACTGCAAACGCTGGAACGCCACGGTGTACCTGAAAATGCAGAAAATAGAAATGAAAGTGTAGTTCAGCAATCAACTTCTTTAGGTTACACACAATCGGGTACAGCATCTGCATTCACCACAGAACAAATCTGGGAAGATCCTCAGTCAACCAGCTTATGGTCAAGCCTGAAAAGTTCCGTTTAGGCAACTGGATGTGAAGTTCACTATGGAACACAAACCTCTGCAAAATACAAATCCAAGCTGTACTGTGTCTAGCCCTGTCTGCTGATTGGAGCGCATCACTGATTGATGAGCAGGCAGACACCTTTATAGTAGGCCAGGTGATTGCATGTCAGCAGTCTGTGAGGCTACGATTTTGGATCTGGTCATCTGAGACTTTAGGCACCATTCTGTAATCTGAGAGAATTTGGGTTGATCTTTAAGCGCAATATCTGCCGTTTGTTTGTGCAGCCCTAAAGCTTCACTAGTGTTTCCAGCAGCAGTAGAAGTCCTTTTATGGCCGTATATGCAGGTTAAGGCCTCTGCTCATTTCTGACCTGCTAGGCCTTAAGCACCTTGGTATGTTGTCTTTATTTAAATTTACCTTGAATCTAGAGATAATGAGCATTTCTATCTGAGCTGTGCATCATGCTCCAGTGCACAGGGATGCTCTGCTGTTTTATTTATTTAGTCTTGATTTTTGAAAACTTTAAGGTTTGGGCTGCTTTTCCAATGCATCTGTTGCTGCTGTTTGGGCTGATGAGACCATGGATATCTCCTCTGCTGAAAGGGGGTGACTAAAGCCTGTCATTTTTAAAATAGAATGTCTGTCTTTCTTTTTTTTAGGTTTTTAAGGCACTACTGGCTTGTTTCGATAGCAGGCTGACAGGAAAGGAGGAATAAGAGAGGGGAAGAGACATGTGGCACAGTACCACAGGTTGGATTCTAACTCGAGTCTTAGGCTTCCCTACATGGGTCGTGAGTGCTGACCACTGCGTCACTGAAGCATGCCCAAATAGATAATTCTTTGATAGATGGTTTTGGGGGTTAGAGTGGACATTCAGGCACAGTAAGCTAGTATGAGCAATGAGGACAGCACCTTTTAAACAGAGCGTGCACGAGGAGAAATGGGCTTGTGCATGCTCTCGCACAAGCATTTTTTTAAAGTGGAGAGGGCGGAAATTTGCAAAAATCCTCCACAATACCTTTAAGGGGAATATTAGTCCTGTTTAAAGCTTGGTGTTGTAATTTTACCTCGTCTTTCTCGTCAATCACGGTCATCTCCTCCATGGCCATCTCATAGCTGACATCTTTGTATTTTGTCCCATCATAGCCTGGGTTAGAGATGTCAATGAAATTTACGTTCCCTGGTCGGTTTCTCTGCAGGAACTGGAGGAAGCGGATCTCCGTCAGGCAGATGGGACACATCCCATCATACAACACCTGGAGCAGAGTGGAGTTAATAAGACTTTAATCCATTAGATTTTACTTATCCAAAACAAAGGTAACATTTTGAAACTGTATTAGCAAAGCACTGGAATGCATTCAGTTTAAAATGAGCAACAGGTGATATATTTTTATTACAATGAATGGGAATACATTTTTTTGTTAAAATCAGGCAAAATTGGCAAAAGAAGGGTTGTTAGCAAGTTCTAGAGCATCTCCAAACCCTGCAGCTGTGTTGGCCGTTCCAAGTGTGCGTCAACAACAAAATGTGGCTAAAGGAAATAATAGTAGTGAACTGATGACAGGATCACTGATGCAAATGACCCCGTTGATCTGATCCAACAATGATCTAAGTCATTTAAATTATCTAATGATTAAATCCAGGCTCTGGTAGAAAGCTGACAACTCGAGAGAGAAATGTGTTGTTTAAAAGACCAAGATAATTAAATTCTGATTTTGATTATGATGCTTAGTCAATCAGAGGAGTGGAGTTTGAGTAAGCTTAAAAGGACTGTACATCTGTTTTACTATAACTTATGTGTATACTGCAGAAAAATAGTAAAACAGATGAACAGAAACTTGTAGAGTGCATTACAGTGAAGAATAATCCAAGTGCAAAAACAGGTCCCATATGTGCCTGATTAAGGAAGCATACTTTTCTATGACTGATCATCTACTTAATTACATCTTTTATAAATAAATGATAAATGTTTTATGTTAAAAACAATGCATCACTTGATGCACTTTGTTGTACATCATTTTGGAGTTTTTTCTTTCTACTGCAGCTTGTCATTGTGTGAGTATATCATCAATGTGCAATTATATGTACAATGTGCAAGTATATAATCAATCTACAATAAAACTGTGGTTTAGATAAATGTGCAAATTGTAAAACAGTATGTACTATAAGACAGCAGAAATAATACCTGATGGCTCTTCTCCTTAATAACAAGCTTTATTAAGTTTTTGAACTACACAAGGACTTGACAAGAATGAACAGCTTTGATCCAAATTGTATTTCAATCAACCCTAATTTTAATTGTTTAAATTAAAAATTCATTGTTAGAATAAGGAAGAGGAAATAAAATCTCACCCTGACAGCCGAAGAGTCGGAGCTGTGGTTCCTCCGCTGGTGTCTGCAGAGCCCAGGCGTCCCCAGCCTGCCTGTCCTTGGATTTACACTACAGGGGAGCCTGATGGAAGCCGCGGTGGCAAAACCAAGTCTAACTTTACAAAACATTTCTAAACCACCCAATGATGGCTCTGTTTAAACTAAGGTAGCCACTTGTGACTGGAGCTGTTATTGACGGAGCAATCAGCAGTAAATTAATAAACAATGTTTAGGTTACACAAGAAAAGGATGAACACATAACAGCAGGGAAGCGTCTCTTCTTCGTGAGATAGGACTAATATAACAGCGCCATCTTGTGGAATGTCTCTGTATTGAATGTAAAATAAAACAAAACTGATAAAAATGGGAAATCTTTATCAAATTAAAACCATCTGCAAATCTTTCTCTGTGGCCTATATTGAGTATGTAAAATA